AACCCCTACGCTCCAGGGTGCCTGCTGCATGGCCTGAGCTACGCAACGCCGGCTCCGCTGCTGGTCTGCGCATTCTGTCACGATCCAAGGAGCATTTCCGCTGGGCACCCGAAGCAATAGACTGGTGGCAGCAGCAGTGCTGGTCTGTGATCTTCATGCAGGTGCAGCATATGAAACTCCTGGTCGACATATGCCTTGGTGTCTACGCCAACTGCACTGCTGCTGACTGCAAAACCAAGTTCCTGCATCAGCATCCGCATTTGCTGGTAACATTGAAAGGTGCTCGGGAGAACAAGGTCGTGGGCTTTCCTCCTGTTTCCAACTCTGGCATTGGCATCCATCAAGCAAGAGACCGTGTGTTTGCTGTATTTGGCGAAAATTGCTCCTACAGAAGCCCAGAAAGCATCCTTCTCGGCAGCAGGTCTCTTTTTATGTGGGGCATGCAAAGAACAGAACAGCATCTGCTGCCTCGAGAATGGCGTTCTGGCTTCAGAAAGTAAGGCCGCTAGCCAACATAGCCTGCCGGTCTTACCAGATTCATCCATAGCTCAACACCAAAACATCCAGACTTGTTGGCTGCTGATCTGAAGCTCCCTGCGAGACCCTGCCCGCCCCATCGCTTTGCAGACGGCGCCGAAAACGCAAGTTGCCGCCTTGTGGCTCTCGGGGCTGAAGTTGGGGGCCGCTGGAGTGCTGAGGCCGCAGAGTTTGTGCGCTTGCTGGCCCACGCCAAAGCTCGTGCTGCCCCAGCCGTGCTGCGGCCTGCTTTGCGCGGTGCGTACGTGCACCGCTGGTCTGGCTTGCTCGCCGCGGCTGCATCCCTAGCTTTCCTGCCGTCGCGTGGCCTTTGCAACCTTGACGGGCCCGGCCCCGACATCAGTGACTTGTTGGCGGGCGTCCGGGGTGCCCCGGATGTGTCCCGCCTGCCTGCCCGGTAGGGCCTTGCATGTGAGGGTGCTGGCCTCCATAAAAACAGCGCGTGCAGGTGAGGAAACTGGCCTCCGAAAAAACAGCCTGCGCAGCCCTTGTGCCCAGGGCCCCCCCTTAAAAATGGACAGAGCTGCTGCGTCGCGCGAAAAAAACAATCTGAAGATTCTGTAATGTCCTGCTGTGAACTGAGCATCATGCTTGCGTCCTGTCTCCTGCGCACCGACCAAAATGAAACCCTCTGCTCTCACAGATTGACGAGCGGTCAAAGAAACCTTCTGGCGCAAGGTCCGGCATCTGATTGCCCAAGAGTTTGCACATTCATCGTGGCTAAGAGCAGGCCGATGTTGATTTGAGGCAGACGATCACCAGTCTGCAAAACCTGCAAATTGCAAGGTACTGTGGCGCGCACGGGAAGTAGGGTCAGCGTGTCCCCTTGGAAAGCAGGCGCGTCCAAGGTCTGAAATCCAATACTCGCACTCATCCAGATCCATGGCAAGACCGCAGCGTAATCAGCCAATCTGGGCCCAAAGCCAGACTCGATGGCTGGTTCTGCGATAACATTCCAAAGATAACCAGCGTGACCTTTGGTCCACATGTATTGCACAGCTGCAATTTCTTCAATACATTTCCATAAAATTGCGTGACTATGCAAATTGTACAGCTTCCAGCCCGAAAATGCCAGCTGCGAAACCGGATGCAACCGCCACCTGCGTCCTTCGCTGCATGTGTGGTGATTGCCAAAGATAAAGCTTCAACTTCAGGTGCCCCGGAGGTTGAATCAATTGCTCCTTTCCAGTTGTCATGGTCCTGGTGCACGCAAATCGGGCCCGCCAGCTTTGCCAGAACTTGGAACGTACTTGCTTTGGCATCCCAAGCCACAATGATGCAGAACAAGGCCCTGCTTTCCTCATCAAACTGCTTCGTCCATTGGAGCTTCTGTCCAAGGTCGCAAAAGGGCCTGTGCAAGTGCATCCATACCAGTGCATTCAAAACTCTGGATGGGAGCTGATCTTCTTCAGCGAAGGTTTTTGTTGCGGATCATCAACTAGTAACCGTCTACCACGGGAGGGACTGCAGGTGGAGGTGGAATCCCAAACTGTATGCATTGCTCGGCATGGGCGTGGCCAGCTGCTGCTGCCAGTAGTAGGACGATCCACCATGTCCTTCTGACCCTGACTTTGCGTGCCTTGGCAAGTCTTGGATCGCTTCCTCGGCATTTGTTGCAGTATGTACCCGCAGCTGGGTTCGAACTCCAGCACTTCTGGGCATGACCATCGAGTCATAGACCTCGGCCTGGATCTGCTGTACTCAGGTGCACTGTGATGACTCTCCAGCCTATCCCACAAGGACTGTTAACTGAAGAACACCTTTCCTCTGAGCCAGCAACCACCACCTGGCACTTTGCCGGTGCCTTCTCAAGCGCCGGTGCCAAGCAGGTTCCCGCAAAGGCCGCTCTATGGCTCGAAGCAAAAGCGAGGGCCGATTTAGCCCTCTAAGGTCCTAGGGCGATGTTGCCCGCTCGAACCTTGCGGAAAAAACACGAGAAACAAATCAAGCGCAAACCGTTTGCGTGACTTGGTGTCAAGGTGCTGCCTGTGCAAGGAGTTGCTGCCACGACGGGCGCTGCCGGAGCAGGTTGCCGGCCGCTGCCGCCTCACGCAGGCAAGGCGCGGCGGCCGAGTCATCCACGAATCCACGGGAAGCTCCCGCACATTTCGCTCCGCTGCATCACGGCGATGACGCTGGAGCAACACCAGCAAGGTCAGCCCACGCCGCCCCAATCGGCGCGGCGCGGGCAGCGCGCAAGAGACCAAAGACGCGGCGCAAAACAAGAGCAGCAGCCATGCTGACTGCAGGTCAGGCAGCTGCGGCAACTCGTCCAGCAAGCCTTGCTCCTGGTCAAGGCGCTCCCGCGCGCACGCAACGACGAATTCCGGAGTTTTGATGGGGGTGCCCAAGGCAACAAACCCGCTGGTTTGTCCACGCGCCACAATTTGGGGCCAAGCTCCTCAATGCCTAGCGGGCTCCTCGGCAGCTTCGCAGACCGCGTCGAGAGCAGCCAGCGCTGGCCGGCATGGTGGCCTCGAGAAAAGCGGCCAAAAACTCGCCCGGGGAGTGTCCCTTTCACACAAGTGTTATTTGATGGCGCATGAGCGCGTTCAGCTGATATTAAGTTTTGGAATTGTTTGCGTCATGTTGTCGCGTGCTCGACAACTCTCAGACTTGACAATGCACGAGCCAGTATAGAGGCAGGGCCACCCAGTACTTTACTCGAGGCGTTCGAGACGCTTTTTGGCGCCAAAGCTGAGCAGAGCTGCTCTCAACACGTTGGGCGACCATGCTGTTGCTTGCGCAGCGGCTTGCGTGCGCGCCGTGCTCCCTTGCTCGAACAGGCCTGGGCGCACGTCGTGCGAGGGGGCCGGAGGGGCGCGGCCCCGTCCACAATTCAGCCGCTCCTTGACATAGGTCTCGCACCTGCGGAGCCACCAGTGCTGACCAATCAGGGAGTGACCTTTGCTCCCTCAACCTGGTCCGTTGGTTTTGTGTCCGCCTCTTTCTTGTCCCGCTCGTTCCAGTGTTTCCCCACTCCTGTTCCGACCTCTTCCCACCCAGCCTCCCGCCTCTCTGGTTCACCGTCCTTCTGTGACCTTGGTGCCCCCGCGTCCTCTGAGCGCAATCTCGGCCTTGGCGTGCTGATAGTCCGGCCCCTCTTCTGCCAGACTCGCACACACCTCAACCTCCTTTCTTGCACATGGATCCTTCCAGAAGTGCGCCGCATCTTGCAACTTCCTTGCCGTCCCGCAAACTGCAGATGCTTCCTCTCATATCTTCCGGCATGCCTTCATCCAACTCGCCGATGAGCTATCAGCTTGTCGAGGCTGTTCCGGAGCGCGTACCTCAGTCATTGTTCCATACATAGTCCAGGTTCAGCAGTGTCACAGTGTCACTTCCCTCGACTCAGCTCTGCCTCGGTTTCCGGTCCTTCTGAGTGCCTCTTCCCACAAGCGCTGATCCCTCAACCCGTCCTCATCTCCTCTTTCGTGAAGGCCGTGCAGCAATCCTTTGTGAGCAAGTGCCTGGATGGGTCCGTTGTGAGGCATCACAGCGCCGCTCCGCACATGCTGTTTTTCCACCGCTCCGTTCATCGTCGGCAGTGCGAAATTGAAGCTCCCATGCTGCAGTTTCCAACCGCCTTGTGTCAATTTCCTTGGGATGAAAGGCAGTGCCATTAAATTGTCAGACATCATTATTGAACACAGCAACGAACGTTTCGGTGCAAATGATGTTTATTCGGAGGCGCTTGCCACCCTGAATGATTGCAACTGGGCGCTCCAAGGCCGAACAGCTCTTGTCGAAGGCTGAAGGCGCTCAAGCAAAAACTGTCATTCGTCACGTGAGGGGCCGAGAGCTTGCCAGGCTTGGTGCTCCCACCGCAGCTCCCTACAGCCATTGAGGGCATTCCATCGCGCCAAGGTTGCAGCATACTGTGTTTCCTCATGTTGGCTTCCGCCCACATTGCAGTGAGTGTGGATTTTGGTCGTGAGTGTGGCATGGCATGTGATTGAGGCATGTGTCGCTCGATCACATGACAACACGTTCTGCAACAACTGGGCTACGAGCAGGCTGGGCGGCCAAGGTTGGACATGCTCAGCCATTTCTTGGAGCAATAACCAAAACCAGCATACATACACCTATGAGTTTTTTTCTCCTTTTTGTTTTTTGGCGTCGCTGAGCGGTGCAGGCTTGCAACCTCCAGAGTCCGAACAGATATACGGCCCCCTTCCAGTGTGGAGCTCGATGAATGCATAGTCAGCACGCATGTTGTTTTGTGCATTACATTCGAGTTTGGCATGCTGAGGTCCGAATGTCCCTTGACATCAGGCTTTCCAGCAAACCAGTCGTACTCCTTGCAGACCCACAAAACCAAACCAAGGAAGATGCCCGCGCCTTCGTGCAAGAACGGTGCTTGTTCCAAAGTGTGCAGAGTGCAAACACGAGGTTTGGTATCGTCCGGGGTGGACGATGCGGGACCCGCAAGTTCATATAGCCCCCGGCTCGGATCAAGGGCAATGCGTGCTGAAGGCTCGGCACTTGCATTGCGTGAGGTTGTGGGGTTGCGCACTTTGCAGCGGGAGAAGGAGCCAGAGGCATCGTTTTGACATGCAGCGAATTTAGCCTCATGCAGCCAACGCTGTTGATGTCGCGGAGCAGCTGGCGTGAAACCATGCAGTGTATTTTTCTTGAAATCCAAGGCCTGCAAGAGGCAAGGCAAAGTTGATTAACTCAACAGTGGCAGCTGTTGCCCGGCCAAACTGCACCACCATGTGCTTGTGCAATCAATGTGGGTAACAGCTTTGACGCGTTGTTGACTTCTTTACCTTTGTGTATTTCCATGTTGGTCCGCAGGTGACGGCCTTTGATTGGCAGGGGCCTCTGGGCCGGGATCCATAGTGTGCTCGTGCCCCTTGCGTCAGGGTGCGGCTGCAAGTCTACGAAAAGCTGCTGGGAGAGGCAAGGGTGGATGATGTTCAAGCCCTCCTCTGTCCCTATGTCCCTCCGGTATCCTCCGATCTTTTCTAAGTTGCCACGTGTCACAAGGCCATGGCGCCCAAGATGTACAACATGCTTGCAGCAGGCTGGCAGCCCGCCACCCACCCAGTAGCAAGTTTGATGTGGAAGGCTCCAAGTACGTCGTGTCCACGAGCACCAATGGCATTACCATCACATTTGCCGGATGCTAAGTGCATACTGATGCTCTCACTCACTTTGTATGCGTTATGCCCCATGAGGTTGGATATCAGGAAGCAATGTCAAAGCTGATCAACCGGACCTTGAACGTTTTCAACAGTCGGCGCCTGAACATGTCAAGATATGCAACTTCTTTGCAGATGTTGCCCGAGGCTTTAATGAGCATTTGAACACAACGCTGCCCAGCCGATTTCACCGAATCGCCAAGACATATAGAGAGGCGAGGCAACTTTAGTCAAACGCCTATTCCATCTACCATTGCTTTCCTTCAGGAACTAGAAACCTTCGGTGGCATGCCCTCCAGCTATGCCATCCAAGATATGGCTGTGGACTCAGAGCACGCTGCAGTGCCAACTGCCATTGCTGTGCCCAGAGGAGCGCTTGCTCATGCGGAACCGGTTTTCCAACCACGAGAGCTGGGGCCTGAAAGCACAATTTGGAGCCAGAGGCGAGAGCAGTTGCTAGCCGCAATTGTTTTTGTCGATGAGGCCTGGAAGCGTTGTCAAAAATCAGCCCAGCGCTTGGTTGATCCAGGATAGAAAGACTTGATTTAACAGTGTAGAAGTGTTTGGTCCCAGCTTTGGGTGATGAGCGAGCCACTGCAGATCTCACGGCAGCTGCACGTGCGGGAGGGGATCTCTTGCTGCCGCACTGACTTGTGACTTGATCCTGGCCTCATCTCAGTATGGGACACGTAAAGCAGGGCTAGCACAAGCAGCATGGCTGGTTGAGGGCCACACGGCAGGTCAAAAGAATTGAAGATGACGGTGCGCAACTGAGATGTGCAAGTGATCCGGGCTTGTTGTTTTGTTTTCGAAAGGGTTCTGACCATGGAGGCGCTTGCCATTGGGAACCTCGCAGACCTTGAATCGACTGATGCGCTGCCTCTCGGCCCGGCTAGTCATGCACATCAGGCAAATGATGCACCTTGCGACTTGTTTATATTTGGAGCTCTGGCAAATTTCCGCGGCCAAGGCATGAAATTGCGTCTTCGTTGGCACGACCTTCATGGACGGTTGCGCAGCCTTAAGCTTTGTCAAGAGTGGTGTTCAGCCTGTGGGTCAACATTTTTGTCGACGGATCAAGAGCAAGTGCCGGGCCCATCATGCTTTGGGACTGTATGCTATAAGGCCCTCTCCGGTGGATGGCAGAGTGGAGGAGGTGCAGCCAGTGGTAAACGTGCAGAAGCCGCAAACTTGGCACTTTGCAAAAGCTCCATGCGCTGTGCCATGTGCGAAAGCTCCACTTGCCATTCCAAGGCCAGTGGAGGTCAGGACGCTGAACCCACGACCTGGAGATCCGAATGACGTCGCAGTCTCAGCCGTCAGTCACTGCCATGCTGGCCGTCACAGCTCGTAGTTCTCGACCATATTCTAGCTAACTTGAAGTGGGGAAGTGTATGTTTTCAAGTCAATTCAAGTCCAAGTGCCCAGTCTGGCATTGATGATAGTCGAGGTTGCTATCGTCAGCCTTGTCTACGGTGTCATCCTCTCAGTCTTGCTTCGTTTGTTCAAGGCTTCTCCAGGCGCTGCCAGCAAGTCACGTCTCACACAGCAGGGCAGGGCAGATTGGGCAGTTGTTGGTGGTCACTGAGGTAGGTGACGTGCCCAGCCGCACCTCGGCCGTAGACGGTTTCGAACTGCAAAGGTGGATTGCTCGAAGCACCAGGCGGTATGGTTTGCAACATTTGTTGCTTGCGGTTTGTGGGATGCATGCACGCAAACCCCCCTCTGGAAACTCGGAATGAAAGCAGATGAGCCAAGCGGAGCTTTCAAGAATCTTGGCCGTGAAGGGGCTGCCCATGCAATCCATGTTGGTCACCTGGCATGAGGCGTTATCCTCAGCATCGCCAGCTCTCTCCTGGGCACGGCAGCCTTCGACCATCTTCGCACCCAGCAGCAGCTGGGCCCGTTTCTCAGCCCGACTGTGTTCAGAATGCTGCTTTGCATAGCCTCCCCCCCATGCGTTGTCATACTTGCTGTGGGCGGCCAGAAGGAGAAGGAGAATATGCTTGTAGTAGGCTTTTCTGGTGACAAGCACTGCAAAATTGTTGTGGACGCCAGGCTATGTGGTTTGCTCCTCAGAGAGTGTGAAATTGGGCAACATATTTGCATTGTACGCATGCTCTCAGTTGCTGACGCACGGATGAACACCAAAGTTGCATCATGCCCAGGTTGGTGGTGGTATGGGCATGGTTTCAAATGTGATGTTCTTGTTGGGCCCTCAGGAGGAAAACAAATACACGCGCAGCAGGGGAACAAGCTCCTGGTCAAAAGTCTGCTAGGATCAAAGTCGGCGAGTGCTGAGGCGAACAGTGGTGCAAGGCACCAAAGTCAGTGCAGATGAAGCGGAGGCCGCGATAGAAGGCGTGACGCGGCTTCATGCGATATGTGGCTTGAGCTTGGGGGTTGGCAAAATCACGGACCCCCTGCTTGGGTTTAGTCACACGAGTATGATGTCTGTGAAGCCAAAGGGGGGCTCAAACATTGGACAGCCATAGCTTCTGCACGCAGGCCTCCTAACCACCACCATGCCAAAGATCTTGCGCGAGCTGCCGGGCACCTAACCAGAACTCTCGTGCGGTTGCGCGCGACTGGACTCGCAGGACCGTGGAGGACTTCCAGAGCCAGGCGCGGAGCGATTTGGATGCCGCGAGAGGGACGCTCGAGCAGAGCTGTGCGTTCTTCGCCTCCAGCCGGCTATCCGCTCACAAGTCACCAACTATGTAGATCATGGCTTGTTGTTGAGATGTGGGCACCTCAAGACCGCTAAAGCTGGAAACAAAAGGGTTTGCAGCCATGAGCGGGTCATGAAACATGGAAGGTGAGAAGGCGGTCAGGGACCTGTCTCAGGTGGATGCCTACAGGCAACAGCTACTTGAACCGCCACTGGCAGCGCTAGCGACCAAGATCGGATCGGCATGGGTGGAATTGAGCACCTAGAATGGTTGAATGGTGGTCTTGTTTGTGATATTTTCAGCTTTTGCTGTGCAAATTGGCTCTTGCACGGCAGGGCTTGGGGAGACCTCACGCAGTTCAAACTGGTGACTGGTGTGTTTGTGCTAGGTTGCTTCTACTCTTCTGACAATGTTGTCAAGGTCAGATGAGGTCAGCCACTTCTGGGGGCACATTACTCAAGGCCGAGCTTGCCAGTTTTCAACATGAGCTGAGAAGGAAGCTGGCCACAAGCGCGGCTCACTGGCTCTTCACTTATCCAGGGCAAAGCCAGAGGGTGAGGTTTCAATTCAAGAAGCATGTGGAGGTGGCCGGTGCATGAACTTGCTGGACAAGGCAAGCATCTTGATCGAGCGGAACAGTGACAAAGTCGTGGCACGGGATGAGACAAACCAAGGCCTTGAGCTTTCTGAAGAGCCCACAGTGCAACAAGCAGATGCCAGGGCCAAAGTCTTGCTGCTTCCAACACCCCCGTCATGCTGGTTGTCCCGAGAGGTTGATAGACACGTGGAATGATTTGGCCTTTGGCAACGTCAAGGACGGCTTGCGTATAATTATTATGCTTGATTCAATACGGCTTCATTCATTTTTGTACAAGGTGCAACGCATAGGACGATGCTGCCGTTCGTGTGAGCACACATTGGGTGCGCAGCAGTTTTTTTTTGCCCGGCCTGGCCGTCAGCCTGCATGGACACACCAGCCGCGAAGCCGTTCCCAGGTCAATTCCTTATGTTTGCACGCTTTGGTCCTTTGTGCTGGTCCTTTGTGCAGTTTTCGTTGCGACTAATTTCTCCGACACTGACAAGTGCAATTTGATGCAGGTGGGCTTGCGAGAGAGCAACGCAACTCCTTAAGAGGTAGCACGCTTCTGCTCCCGAGTCGGGCCAACCTGAACATTTGAATGTTGTTGATCCCGCCACGCGCTCGTTGCGCAGGATGGGAAGAACGCCCTGAGAAAGAAAATCTCAGCAGCTTGGCCGAAGCAAAGTAGACACGCTGCATGCCGCTTTGTGGCTTGTGTCCTTGGATCATGTGCCATCAAATCACTTGGTCGGTCAAATTCGGAGGTGATAACGCAGGCTCAAGAGCTATCAGGATTCCAACTGGGCCGAGAAACAAGCCCTAGGACAAACCAATGGCCGTGCAGGTTGAGGAGCCCCAGGACTACCTCGATGTCTTGCAGTCGCAGCGGGGAGGCTTCAGCTTTGAGAATTGCAAGAGGAATGCCTACTTAGCAGCGCAGGCGGCCATCAAGCCACCAACAGCCATGAAGTCTGGGACGACCATTTGTGGCATTCAGCTGAAGGATGCAGTTGTCCTGGCTGCAGACACACGGGCCACGAATGGGCCAATGGTCGCAGACAAGAACTGCGAAAAGCTCCACCACATTGCGAACAATATCTTCTGCGCAGGGGCTGGAACAGCTGCGGACCTTCAGCATACGACTGAGCTCATGGAGTCGCAGATGGAGCTTCTGCGGATGGCCACAGGCACTCAGCCACGCACGTGCACGGTGGTGCGGCGGCTGAGCTCCATGCTCTTCAAGTACCAGGGCTACATTGGCTGCGCGCTGGTGCTCGGGGGCGTTGACGTGACTGGGCCTCATCTTTACCAAATCTATCCGCATGGCTCCACTGACTGCCTTCCCTTCACCTCCATGGGAAGCGGGTCTTTGGCTGCTATGTCCATTTTGGAGGCAGAGTACAATGAGAACCTCAGCGTGGAAGACGGCAAGAAGTTGGTGGCCAAAGCAATTCGAGCGGGCATTTTCAATGACCTCGGTTCAGGTGGCAATGTTGACGTGTGCGTGATCACCAAGGACGGAGGTGGCCAAATCTTCCGCAACTACGAGAAGCCCAACGAGCGCAAGTTCAAGGCTCAGCATAAGGCATTCCCCATCGGCACCACGCCGGTCATCAAGACGGAAATCATGAAGCTGGTTCACGTGGAGGAGGATGTTGTGATGCGAGACTGAGCTTGGCCACCTGCAAGCCGTGCCTTGACTTGAGGCGCATTAGGGAATTCCAGGCAAGCCACCTTGCGGGAGAATGCTCCGTACAGATTGACCGCTGACTAGTATGATGACAAACGTGGCGGTAAGACATGTGCCAACCCCGTGCCGAAAAGTGCTGCACTGCCCTGCATGCAGCAGCCATGATGGCCTTCTTCTGGATGTGCTTGGCCTGTAACCCGGACAGCTCTTGTGTCCTCACTTGCTTAGGTGAAGTACTTTGCCCAGAAGGTGCCTGAGTTCAGGGTTTGTTTCTTTGCATCAGCTGGGTTGATAATGTGATACTTGTCTTCTTACAGCGTGTGTGCGCCAGGATGGCAGTGACACAGCCCCCAAGCGGCCAACGCTGCAGGAGGCGGGTGTGTCGGGACAAGCAAAACAGCATGCAATTTGGATTGCCCCGCCAAGTGGGCGTAGCTTCGTAGGCCCGTGCGGCTTGGCAGAAGCACGGCGTTCCCCCGGCAGCGACAGAGCTGCTCGAGCGAGAGCCGTGAGCTCAAGCCCGCGGTTCCAGAGTGCTGACTCTTCTCGAGACAAAGTCATGCTATTTGCCTCGGTTGAGGCACAGTGGAATCTTGTAGTGAACCTCACACCGATCATTTGCTGCTAATGACAAGTGCTCATGATCAACGTGGCGCGAACCAGGTGGAGTGAGACCAAAACTGTCGCCGCGTCCAATTCGAAGGCGGATTCCCCAACCTTGATGCAGAAGTTAGTGCCTCGCTTGGCCAGGTGAGGCAAGAGCTTGCTGAGGACGCTATGCGCTTTTTTCCTTTTGTGGGGGGCCTTTGCAAACTGACAGAAGTCCTGAGTCACGTGCTTTGGTCAGGAGGGCGGCTTTTTCCCCACAGATCTCCACTGCGGTGGTGAAGCGGGCCAGTACCTCCCAGCATCAAACACCTAAAATTTGGAGCCATGCAGCGATACTCAGCTGTGGCTGGCTACCAGCATGGTTGCCAAGTGATTGATGCCGCCGGGGCTCTGCCTGAGGCGGCGCTGAAGCCGGGGTGGTCATGCGGCAGGCAGGGATGGGCTGACAAGAAACTGCTTTGTGCAGGGACACTTTTGGAGCTACCTGCAGGCTGAAACAGACAATGTTTGAAAGGGCAGGACGGTTGAAGAGGGTCGTGGATATGTGTTTTCGCATTTTGAAGTTTTATTTGTGTTTTTTTGGCGGCAATGTGGGTAGGTGGGCTATTTGTTGTGAGAAGGTTGATGAATCCAAGCATGTCTTGGCAGGCCGGCGCTCGGGAGCTTGGAGGTGCGAATGATCTGCCGGGGTCAAGGGCTGGAGACGGCACGCAGGCTCTTTGCTGCACCTCCAGGGCAGCGGCAAGTCACTGCGGCACCAAAATGTCGCCTGATCGCATGACTCCGCGCTTTGGAGGCCAGGCGCAAGTTTGTGACTGCATATGTAGCATGACATTTGCAGGTCAGTTTGACTTTTGAAGTCTCAAATAGTAAGGACTTTGAATGAGTCGCTCAGCTAAAGAGGCGCCTCATGGTGATTTACTGCAGCGTTCCTGTGCCACGAAGTGGCGAGGCATGCTGCACGGTGAAGGAGTCAGGTAGAGCTCTTGTCGGAGCTTTCAAATTCGTAGTTGTGGTCGGCCCAACGGCGTAGTCGGGCAGCAGAAAAGCGTTGTCAAGGCGACTCCGCATTGCTTCGAGGGCTCACGGTTGGGGTTTAGACGGGTGATGATGCCAAGCCCGGAAGGGAAGCAGGCGGCCGGGTGCCAGGACAGGCCTTTTGCCGAAGGAGATGGGCGGTTTCTGCGAAGAACTGTGGCAGGCGCTTGGGGGAGCATGCAGCAGTCAAATGCTTTGCGAATCCAAATCTGACATTGCAAAGGCCTGCGATATCATCCGCAGCGACGAGCATCACAGAAATCAGGACTGCATATCAGCGTTTGCGTGCAGCGCAGGCTCCGCAGCATCCACCTTCAGTGCTTTTGATGCATGTCAGGTATATTGCACTGTGGAGTCAGGTGTAGCTGAGGCCATACATTATTTTTCGATTTTGCCACTTCAGACTTCCCTGATGTGACGTTCATGACTTGTTTGGGGCAGGTAGCACAGGTCGTTTGCTCAGCGGGTCCATGTGCCAGAGCTATGCGTATTTGCTGCAGCAGTTGTCCGTCGGTGGCATGGCTTCCGTCGCGGCCTGTGAGGCCATGCGGAACGCCATTTGCATCACTGACCAGCAGCTCCTTGGCGATGTTTCTTTTTTTCTTTTTTTGTGTGTGTGGATGTGCGCATGCGCCTCAGGAAGTTCTTCATAGCCACTCTCTCAGCCTGCTGCTCAGGAACTGACATGTTCCGGCCGTGTGGCATGCCTCTCCCAGCCGTGTTGCTCTTCCTTGCTTCGGCCTTTCCTCAGGCCGATGACCCAGCCGAAATGGTTGTTCGCGGCAAGCATGTCCTTCCCTCAGTTTCCATCAGATGAAGAGGAATGGCTGGCTGGCCTTCACCACGATGACTTCGCAAAGCGACAGATGATGGCTACAGTGCTGAGGTGCTGCAAACGCGCGATCCCCAGTTTTGACATGCGGGACACCATGGTACCTGCTTGTCCTCCTGGCTCCCTTGGAGCGATGGGAGCGGCTGAGGTTTGGACCCCTGGCGCCCAACTGCGGCTTTCAGCGCCTCGGTGTGGATGGTCCGATGCGCTCCGTGATCTCCGAGTACAGCTCCACGCCGACGCATGCTGAAGCAGCGCTAGTTGAAGCCAAGGCTGGCAGGACCATTGGCCAGCGCCGCCCTGAGTCGCAGACTTCCGTGTAGGATTACCAGGCGAGCAGCACTGATTTGCACTGCCACTGACTCAGTTTGCACTTCAGGTCTTGGCACGCTGACTGCGTTGCGGCGGGCCTTTCCTAACCAGTTCCTGGGCTGCATTGGGCTTCCCTCCCAAGCCGGTGTGAACCATACAGCTTGAGTGTCCCTGACAAGTTTGCCCCTTGCCTCCAGCTGTGAGGTTTCTGCACTACCATGCAGCAGGACAACTGCCTGTAGCGTCTGAGCCTCTTATTCTGTTCCCGGTGGTGAACCGACCAGGAGGCATATCCGCTCAAGGTGTACGTGGCAAGCAGCTGGGCTGCAAACTTTGTCCTGGGGCCCCTCCGTCAACTGCTTTGATTTCATCAGTTTCCCCTTCCCAGCCTTATAGCTGAAGTTTCGGACTGGGCGGATGCCGTCAGGAGAGGCTACACAGCTTTCGTCCACGCAAAGCTTGCTCGGATATTGGGCGCTAGCAGCGTGTTACTGGATGTTGATGCCTGCAAAGAGGCCGGCTTGCCAAAAGGTGTAGGGGCTCGTTTGTGAAGCACAAATTGAAAAGAGCACCTGCCTGCATATTGAAAGCATATTGACCATCCTTGGCTGCTTCCAAGCAATTTGTGGTATGATGCGCATGTGTGCGTGTGTGTAGCGACGTGGGCCCATTTGAGACTGCCATCTTCAGAGAACCGCGCGGCAGGCAAGCAGCGCACTAAAAGAGCAGTCGGCCAAAGTTGACTGGGCCTTGGGCAGTTTTGTGAAGAACTCACTTTTTTTAATTATGCAATTATATTATATAAGGGCTTTCCGCAGATCGCGCCGGGCAGCACACTTAAGGCCGCGACGCTCTGTTGTGACCTGAGCACTGGCCCAGTCTTTGAGCAGCACTGGGACGCCCGGACGCAAGAGAGGGTCGGAGAGGGTCAGAGGGCTAGTCTTCTTAACACCCTGCCAGTGGTTTTGCTCTAGCACTTGAGCCGAGGAGAGCATGAAGCAGGCCAAAAGTGCGTTGCATGACATCATGCACCCTCGAAGCAAATCAACACCTGAATCAGGCAAGAATACTGAGATCAAACACATGGATCGCACATTAATCTTGAAACATGTGGCCAATGCTGCACGTTGTGCAGCATGGCGGCGGTAACAGCAGCTTGATCCCCCTTCAGCTCGTTTTTTTGTCCAGGCGTTGCCGGTCCTCTCCGGCAAGCTTCATGCACTACAACTGCCAAAGGCTCAGTTGCCAGAAATCAGAAATGCCACCGTCACAAGTTAATTACGCTTGCATCCGAGAGGCGGTGTGCTGCATCCGAGGCCCTTGCTCTTTGAGGTCTTGGGGCATTCGGACGGGGTTTCGGCAGACCGAAGTGATCGAGTGAACACCATGAGCTGAGCGGGCAACAACGTGTCACGATGCTCTTGTTCTTGTCGGCTAGGACGTTCTGGCAACAACTGAAGTGTCCGTTTCCAGAAAGGACTCTTCACCAGGCTTGGCTGCATGACTTGTTGCAGTTTTTGAGAAGTGGATGTCAGTGGAGCTGTCTGGCAGCCGCTGAATCAAATGTGTTGGCAATGCTGCAAGGTTTGCGGTCCTTCCGCACTGTCGAAAAGGCCAAGCACACGCACACATGCACAGTCATGCTCTCGCTCATGTATGACATGTAGCTGCACGCGTCTGGCCTGGTGCTGTCACGATTGGGCACAGGTGTGGAGAGCTTGGCATCGAGGCGCTTGTCTCATGCCACGAAGTTATCACAGGGTGACTGGGTAGGCAGAGCCAGTGGCGGAATCCACGTGCTGGGCTGTTTCACGTGCAGGGGAGGATCGCGACGATGCTCGCTTGGCACAGGGCCTCATTGCGGCTGCCAGGAGTCAAGCTTTGGCTGGACCATTTCTTCTTGCACTTCAATGCAATTGCGTTGCTTGCATGCAGCCCGTGAGCAACCTGGTGGGTTTGAGGGCACCGGACCACGGATCTCACTCCCGTATGATATCGTATGATTATGCCGTCCTTGGGGTCTCAAGCCCTAAGCGCAGATAGCGGTTCCACGCACCTGGGCCATGGGCAGGGCCGTTATGTGCGTCCAACTGCGACTGATTCAATGCAGGCAGGGGTCAAACCATGCTTTGGGAACGTGTGTGTTGTTTGCTTGCTTGCTTGCTGGCTTGCTTGCTGGCTGGCTTGTTTGTCTATGCCTGTTCGTGTCATTGTGTTTGAGATGCTAGCCCTACTTTCTGTACACGTTGGGCTGTTGCACGACTTGGCAGGCACAATGCTTCAGCGAAAGCTGGGTGCGCGCTTGATGCGGTCCCATTCTGCACTGCTCCACCCCTGCAGAGAACGAGCACTTTGCAGAGGCTGGGGCTCGTCGGGCTTCAAGTTTTTAGGTTCATTTCAATTGGGTTGCCTTCAGATATTCTTGGCGCATCAGTGCCACCCAGCACGGTGCCCCTCACTGGCTGCTTGAGGTTTTAGTAGCCGGTGTGCTCATGCAAAGATTTACTGCAACATTTTGCTGGGCTTAGACAGGCTTTGACTGGTCACAGAGCAAATTGACCTTTGACAGGCCTGAGGATGAGCAGAGCAGCAGCCACGACAGACATACCAGCTTTCTGTGGCAAGGCAGAAGCCTTTTGAAGGGCAACCTGTTCAGGCTTCTTCATTCTATAAACACATCGGATGCTGATTAGGACAATCAATCATGCGCCCGTTGAGAGGCAAGCGCTCCACACATGGTGAAGTTGCTTGAGAAGTGCTGGCCTCCTTACAGCAATGAGCAACCTTTTGCCGCTGCTTGATTTCAATGATGGCATTCTGATGCAAAGCCACAAAAGCTTGTGGCAGTTTTGCGCCAATACACATTTAGGAGATACATCTCCCAGAGTCGGCTAACCGGCGTTCGGCATTCATAAGCAAATTGACAACAAGAGCAAGCACTTTTTCAGATGAAGGCTGTGTCCGCTTTTGTTGAAGGCAGACGCTGGGACCTGGCAGCAGGAAGGCAATCAACAGGTACATGATCTCCACATACATTTGCATGTGAATCAAGACAACTATACTATATATGCATATGTTAACACATAGTATGGCGCAGCGCGCGAGAGAGAGAGAGAGAGAGAGAAAGAGAGAGAGGGAGAGAGAGAGAGAGAGACAGGAAGAGATACTTTTTACTTTACAATATCTGTCATTTTTAGAACATAAACGAAGGACAAAGCACCTTTGCCAGTGAGCCACTTGTTTGCCAGGACGCTCAAGAGCACTACAATTTGTCAGAGTTTTCTCGGTGTCAATGTTGTCACTGTTTGCTCTTTGCAGTGTCCTCTCCCCTCAAATGGTTGGTTAGTGGTTGAAAGACGGTTCAGCATTTTGAGAAAACTCCCATTTGCTTTGGCAAATCGGCCACTTAGGTAAAGGCCTTGAAAGGCGATGCTGCAGCCTTCGTCACTGCGGTCGGAAGTGGCGCCCTGGCAGCATTCAGCATGCTGACCCCTGGAAAATCTGTGTGTCTTCTTTTCAAACGTGCGACAATGGGTATCAGAGCTCCAGGCTTTTGGACAAAGGTTTGTGCCATTCCCATTCACTACCTTTGTTTGATAGACATGCTCGAGACCATTTGTTTCAGCAAGCAAAGGTCGCAAACCGCCTATTCTTTCAACCGTGCAGGACTATCCGCTGGGTGCTTCGACTGGGAGGCCTGTTAGCAGATGTCGGGGGCATTGAAGCTCTCCATGCCGAAAACTCAAGCTGAGGCACCTAGCTGCCAGGCTGGAGCCTTTGAAGGCTGACCGCCCAGTCCAATTTGCAGATGAGCAGGACATGACAGCTTATTCTTGCTGCGAGTCCGCGCTCAATTTTCATTTGGATCAAGGTGCTCGTGGCACCGCTGCCTATGGTAGACTTGCTAGGCTCAGACACCTGCAATTTTTCGTCTGTAGGAAACATCCGGAATATCTGCAGGTTGGCTTTTGGATCGTTGGCGGACATGGAAGCTCTCTCGGCCACAAGTCACACCTCACAGCCATGTTTGCAGCAGCTATTGCTTTGAGTGTTTGAGCGAGAGCGCACATGCAGGCACTTGCGTCTGAGCTCCCACAGCAGACAGACTAAGAATCTATCAACATTTTTACGGCGGATGTCGCGCGTCAATCAAGTCGTCCAGACTGGGCGGACTGAGCGCATTGAGTCCGAGTCGGCGCCAAAATGGACATGCGAGTGCGGTGCCTTGGCAGTAATCGCCTCGAGCGAATTCCAAGTGGGGGGATCCCCCCTCTGCATTGCAACTGACTTGATCGCCACCTTCCCAGAATGCTTATGCGTAAATGAGTGAGCCCCTCGCTGTGTGTTAAAAATTTAGTGAACGTCTCACCGCTTTAAAAGTGAAAAAGACTGCATACGGGATTAGCCAACCAGCTTCGGCTCTCCAACTGCCGGGAGGGGGGATGTCAGGACCATGAAGCAAGCCAAACTCATGAAGCTGTCACACGTGCCACCAGACTAATGCTCCTTCAGGTCTTTACAGGTGACAAAAGGCTCCATGGCTAGAAGCCCAGAAGCTTGCCCCTGCAGGCCCCCGGCATTCCAGCACCACATGCTGCAGTTGCAGGGCCATTTGGAGCATGAGTTCCAAGCTGGCGCAATGAATGGCATATCTCCCAAGGTTAGTTGAAGAATTGATGAAAGAGGGCCCCATGGAACCAGGACTGATCATTGAACACAGCGTAGGCAAAAAATCAATGCCAGGAGTTGCAGTTGTGTTGTAGCAGCGCTATCCTTGAGATTGGCCCCATCCCTAAACTCGAACAGAGTCACCCATGCTTTGAGACTCGTTGGGTTCAGTCAGATTGAAACGCGTGCAAAGCAGTCTGATCTTAGGCACCATGCCGTTTGTAGCTCAGGTGCGACGAACTTGCTTTCTCGCTCACATTGCACCAAATGTTCGGTTCTCCGGCATCTTGGCTTGGTGAAGCTGTCGTCTGTCGCTTTTTGCGAGTGTCTGGTGTTGAGCTGCTTGAGTCAAGGAAGGAGGATCGCGAGATGCGGATGGTGGCACGGGCCAATCTGGGCCTTGGCCGCGGCGGAGGTTACTTCGAACGTGGAGAGACCGCTGGACGCCGAGGCGGGCGCCTAGCACATCGGGTTGCCGGGCCTTATGGCTTTGGGTCCGTTCGGAAGCAACAGAGCCCTTAGCGGAGGGCAGTGTTTGGATGGCTGTTGGAGTTTTTCAACTGGATCCTGCAAAGATGCCGTGCAGGCAAGGATGCGCCTGAAGAACTTAAGGGTGGGCTGGCAGCTTGGTGGCATGCTGAAGCACATCTCCAGGTGAACACCTTGTTATTTCTCGAGCACTTGCATTCACTCTGTCTTGAGGATATTTATGGCCGATGGCGAGCAGATGCGCCTGATGAACCTGAAAAGGCCTCCAGAGCAAACGAGAAGTCTGCAAGCAGGCGGCAGAGCGACCGTTCTGGAAGCACGAAGCCGGGCCACTCAGGCAGCAGGAGGAGGGATCGATCTGGTAGGAGCCATGACCGCTCCGTAAGCAGGAAGCGCAAGAGTTCGGGCAGCCGGGGACGGGATCGCTCTTCCAGCAGAAGGCGGGAGCGCTCTGCCAGCAGAAGACGGGATCGCTCTGCTAGCAGAAAGCGGGACCGCTCTGCCAGCAGAAGACGAAACCGTTCTGCCAGCAGAAGACGGGATTGCTCTGCTAACGGAAGACGGGATCGCTCTGCCAGCAGAAGACGGGATCGCTCTGCCAGCAGAAGACGGGATCGCTCTGCCACCAGAAAACGGGCTTGCTCAGGCAGCAAGCGACGGGGCCACTCTGCCAGTGAGAGGAGGGATCGCTCAAGAAGCAAGAACCGTGTTCAGAAGAAGTCGCGAAGTAGAGAAAGGGAAAGAGAGGAGAAGGCGTGTGATGTGCCAAAGGGGCAGGAAAAGGCGCCAGAGACGGAGAAAGACAACCAAGAAACAGTGAAGGAGGAGGCGCAAGCCACAGGTGCCCTGGATGCATTGTGCGGGAAACAAGCCAATTGTTCGCATATACGGCGTGGCTCGCATAATTTTTGGGCTTTATTGCGACCAATATGACTTGAGGAACGACATATGCAGTCAGCTTGCCAGGTTTTAGGCTCAAATCCACTGAGCCCATTTCAATAGTGAGGCTTAGGCATCAACATGACCATGAAACTTTCCTGTGCCCGGTGTGTGATGCCTCAATACAAGCGACTGGCATGTCTACATTGTCAAGAGCAAAGTTAACGGCGTGTTATTACTGGTGGTGCTTGCTCCGCCCCAACATTTGGGCATCTGTGGAAAAGACAGACTACCACCGTGGTTTGAAGCCAGGCAGCTCCCAAATCATGCTACTTGACGCCCTATTTCCGACGCTTGTGCTGACCGTTGTGCAGACACAAGAGTGATACTGTTTCTGGCGCCTTTGCTGCCTTCATCCACTAGTTGCATGTTTTTTCCTATAGTTTTCTACTGGTTGCGGCTGTGAGTTGGCTGTGGCCGCGTTCCTTTCGAGCTGGCTCCTTTTTTTTTTTTTTTTGGGGGGGGGGGTCAGGTAATGCAGGCAGCCTCCACTGAGGCTCCAAGGCAGACCGCCAGGCCGCTGCATTGGCGCGGCTGCGCTTGAGGACGGGTAGTTGAGCCCTTCAGGCCAGAGGCCACATGGAGTCACCTAGAGGTTGTGCTCTGGTTCCAGAAGTACTCAAGGCGGTTTTGCTCGGTCTGAGTGCCAAAGCCGAGCCCTCCCCTCGGACTGCAAATTCAGACTTGCATTGCTGCAGGAAGAGGCTGTCGCCGCCGAAGCCGAGCCACCGGGATGCAAACAGGGCGGGTGCCTGGCGTGTGGCTGTTGGGCCCTTGGAGGACTCTGGATAGATTCGCTGCTTTGGACATTGGACTGCCCGCCACCACCCGCAATTCTGTCAGCCGATTTTTGCATTCTTGGCGCAGAGCGTGCCGCTTAAAAAGATAGAGTTCAGGTCACTTCCGTGAGAAGTCCTCCCGCAGTCGGAGCCTGGAGCGCCGCCGTGAATCTGTCCGATGGCGATGAGAGGAGCGAGCGAGTTGGCCGTCGACGAGGCAAGGTGAGGTTGAGTGGCCCGAGGCTAACCAAATACCCTAAATGGTAGGCACAGGGGTAGCGAGCAAGTCCACTCCCCACAAGCCTGCGCAGCCAGCAGTAGTAGGCGGAGTATCACCCATCAAGATAAAGCGCATTCGGGGAGAGCGGCCCGCTATGTGCAGTGTTTCTGCTCAGTATTCTCCGAATTAGTAGCCTCCTGGAAATTCTATGTAGTTCTATTGCCCCAGTGCGCCTTTAGTATCTTAGTATACCCCAATATTCCCTCAGTATTCCCATAGTGTTCCGTCAGTGTTCGCCAATAATTCCCTTGGCAATTCCCCAGCATTCTCCTCGTATTCAGTGTTCCCCTCGTCGTCCCCTAGTAGTCCCCTAGTATGGCCTCGGTATTCTCATAATTTTCCTTGAGTATTCTACTGCCATATCCTCCAGTATCTCCTCAATATTCCCATAATGCCATAGTATTCACTTAATACCACCCAGTATTCCTTCAATGTTCTTGTAATGTTTTTCGAGCGATCGGCCGTTTTGATTCCCTTGATACTTTGGAGCCTCCGGCTCATTCCGCCGACTTCTGGTGCGCTCGGCGCCCCGAACCTCACGCGAACGACACACTGCCGGACAACCCCCAGAAAGACCATTGAAAATGACAAAGGAAGCCCGAACCCAACCCACCGCGTGCGCGCAGAACCCCAGAAACCCCAAGCCAAACGCGCACCTCGCCCGCCACGCCCTCGCCGAAGAGCCAAACACTACTGAAAAAACGGAAAGAGGAAGCCCGAACCCAAGCGTGCAAAAGCCCGAGAAAACCCAGAGAGAACCGGACAAAAGCCACAGCCCGCACACAAAAACACGCACCTCAACAACCACGCCAGCACAATCCCTCGAAAGCGAGGAACCCCACGCAAAACGCACACAGCGCGCAAAATGAAGCCCGAACGTAAGCGCGCAGAACCGAGAGAAAACCCAAAGAGAACCGGAAAAAAGCTGCAGTCTCCGCGCCTCACCGACCACACCCGCGCCCAAGAGCGCAATCCCTCGAAATGCCTCAGCTTCCCTTTGTGTTCTCCTAGTATTCCCCGAATTATTTTTGCATTTTCTTGGGATACCGGGATACCCTCAATTTTCTCTCATCTCAATATTCCCCCAGCAGTTTCTCAGGAATTCCCTAGTGTCTCCTAAGATTCACCCCTAGTATTCCCTAGCACTCGTCTAGTGGTCTCCTGGATTCTGTTTGGCATTCCCCGGTTCTCTTGGTGTACCCTCTCCTATTTCCTGGGTGTTCCCCTACATCCCCTTAACAGTTCCCGAGTAGTCTCTCAGTATTCCCCTAGCGTTTTCATAGTATTTCCCCTATTCTGTTAGCATTCTCCCACCCCTAGATTTGTATTCCCCTCAAATTGCTCAGGATTTCTTTTGAATTTTCTTGGTGTGCCCCTGGTATTCTCCAAGTATTCTCCCAAGTCTGCTCCCAGTGCAAAATCCTCGGGCAAACCGAACAAAAATGCCTCTTAAAAAAAAAAAAAAAAACAACAACAACAACATCTCCAGAACAAAGCCTTGGAGGTACTGGCCATCTCCCCCAGAGGATAGTTTGTTTTTTAGTTTGTTTTTCTTGTGTTTTGTGTTTTTTCTCGTTTTTTCTCTCCTTTTTTCTCTTTCGCGAGGTTTAGGGCACATGTCCTTTTCAGAGTATGTGAGAATGGTGTACTGATGCGCGTTGCTCCGAGTTTTTTCAGGTATTTCACAAACGCAGGCCCCACAGCGGGCCCCTCTGACTTCGGGCGTGGGGCGTTTGGCGGCAGCGTTGGAAAGTCAGCACAACCAACAACCGACCCGGATTCAGAATCTTTGTTTCGTTGATTCATTTGCTGGGTTTCGCGTGCGTTTATTTATAAGGCACTGGGTGTCAGGTATTTTTGGGTTGGAAGCAAGTCCAGATTTGCACTTTTTTTGTGCGTGGGTTCATGCCCTGGAGGCCACACCTTGCCTGCCATCGAGAGGCAGTGATAGGTTTTACTTGGGCCAACGTACCACAGCCTGCAGGTATAACCCAGACTGGGCTCAGGGCTTATGGGTGCTAGATGACCGGTGAGAGCCAGCTTCTTCCTGCGCTGGGTTTACGTCACATGACCAATCTGGACAGGCATTTTACTGGCGTTGATGAGCATTGAATCCAGAATGCAGGAAGATGTGAGGCTGGCCGGGGTGCTAAGCAACCCCAGGTTCGGCTCAATGAGGATAGAGCTTTGCCCAGTGCGATTCATTGCGATGTCCAAAGATAAAGTAGCGGCGACTGACTCGAGAGGTTGCCGAAGCAGCTTTTGCAGATGCGGCTTGAGCAACTTTCAGTGGTTTTGCAGCTGCCTATCACATACTTCCAAACTTGCGACCAGGCAAAAAGTCTTCCAGAGGAGGAGATGGTGTCATGTTGACGCTTCTCCAGCAAGTAGTTGACAATGTTCTTTGTGCCGTTTGCGTGCAAGGCATACTTATTGCTCCATTTGTTTGCTTGGCCTGGGTCATTGGGGCTAAACAAGTGAACGATTTCTAGCCTAACCATACAACTACAGTTGCCCAAGGCAGGGAGAAAGTCAACCTCACTCTTGCAAGCTGAGGGGAGACCGGTCATGCTGATGCTCGTCCTGTGAGCAGTGGAATGATGTTGGCTGGGACAAAGTGTCGTGGCGCAAAGCACGTCATTCACCTCGAGAAAGTGTTTTTTCGTGCCTGTCCTGGAGCGCGTTAGCGCTCTTTTGAGCGCTGCGAGTGCAGCCTGGCTTCAAGAGCTGGTTGATCCTTTCGCGCGCCCCTCAGGGAGGCTAGAGGGTTTTCCTTGAGACGTGTGCGTGCTCAGCTTCAGACAAAAGAGCGCGCCTACATCAGAAAAGGCTGTTGTGCGAGTTGCCTGGGGTTCGGGTGCTGGCAGGAGGGACAGCTCATTGCTGGATGTTGCGGAGCAGCACTAGGGGGGTGGGATTTCAGAAGTCGGAGCAGCTGCCCGCAAAAGCAATTTAGTGCTGGCGTCTCGAAGTGAGTTTGTCAGGGAGGAGCAACACGGTGTTCCGTTCCTACTGGTGGCAACCGGAGTAGCAGGCAAGTTCTTTTCCGGGCATGTTTTCTTGGTCGCTCCGCCGATGCAAACAGCCGGGTCCGCAGAGTAAGTGCAGCCAAGGCGTTTGATGCATTTCCTGATGACGCGAATGTGTCTGAATCTTAGCTGTGCAGAGAGGACAGGTGAAGCGGGTGAAGCCCACTATGCCAACAACAACAGCCTAGATGATGGCACACACACACACACAGACGCTCGCAGTGTACCACCTTGGCCAACTTGAGATTTTGACGGCCTCTTTATGGCGTGAAACAGTGTAGATCTCTATGGGTTTCTTCGCTTGTGCTTGCCACACTGATTTTCTTGCCAGCATCTTCAGGCTGTGCCCTGGTTGGCGGCAGCAGTTGGCCGATGAGGCCTTCCTCCACGGAAATCGGGGGACAAACGTGACGGGATACGACATGCGGTGACGAATAGCGCTTATGGTGCATCATGCCGTTGATTTGCTCTGTCTTTAAGGAGCGCGCTGGGGCAAGCCGGCCGAGGCTCTGAGCCATGGATGGTCCATGAGGCTATCTGACATCAGCTGGAACGTGCCCCTGAGGTCTCCAAAGAAGAAGCGCAGCAGAGAAAACAGATGTTGAGCTATCAGTCACATGCTTCTTCCTTTGAGCACCATGCGTCTTGATGTGGCTGGCTCCACTTCAACTTGCTTGCTGCCTCCCCACGACGCAGACGCTACCTTGACTACTTGTGCATTCCGGGGCCTCCCTTGAGGCTCAAAGCAGCGCGCCGCCCCGGAGCCATGGCGCTTGCCACGACGTAGCAGCGCACGGGCCTTGGAGGCCTTTGTCGGATTGGACATGCTGCTTTGTGAATTTGCGAAGGACGGGGTAGAAGTTTGACGGCGGTAGAAGGAAATGGCAGCCAGCTTGAAGGTTTGCTCGGTTGGCTTTGGCAAGGCCACTGTGCCGAGATGTCGGAGGTGCAACTGCTTGCCTGCATGACACTCCCCGTGTGTGATGCAGTACTTGGGACGAGCGTTGGCTGACCATTTGTGCATCCGCCAGGGCGAATCGCCGGCGAACGGCCACTACCATGGCCCAGGCCTCGTATGGCTCATGTGACGGAGCCCCAAGAGGTCCTCAAAAGTCCTCAGTGTTCAAACAAGTCAACGAGTACTCCAAACGATTCATCTCTTTCATTTTGTCGGTTTTCCCAGAAAGCTGAAAGTTGTAGAGTTGCTTTGCCCAGCGGGATTTGCAAGGTAGCAACAGCACGCCCGCAATAGCGGAGGGATCAAGCGCGCGAAGCACAAGTTAGCAACCACTTCAACAGCACCCTGCTTGCAGGACTCTGCAGCAGCAACCGCTGTGTTTGAGTCATACTGCTAGCCTTTCACGCGCCTGAAAGGCGGCACATGAAGCAAATCCGCTAAAATTGCGCCAGGCACAAAGTCAATAGACTTGGACAAGTGTCCTTGTCACCGCAGCAGCACCCTCGCAACTGACAGAAGCACCCAGCAACAGCACCCTGCGCAACTCTGACCCACAGCCTGCAGCAACATCTGAGTCACAGCCAGCAGCAACGTGCAACAGCACCCAGCACCTCGCGTAACTCTGAGCCACGGCGTGAGGCCAGCGCGCCGCAACAGCACCAAACTCTGAGTCACAGCCTGCAGAGCAGCCTGCGCAGCTCTGGGTCACAGCCGGCAGCAGCATCCTGCAACAGAACCTGCAAGGCATGCTGCAGCTACGTCTCGCAGCAGCAGCTTGCAACGGCGCATTGCGCAATTTTGAGTCGTGGCCAATGATAGAGCCCTGCAAAAGAAGCCAGCAGCGCACCTTGCGGCGACGTGTTGCAGCCGCATGCCGGAGCAAGACCCGAACGCACGGTTTGGCTGACGTGCTTTGGACGCTTTTCCCGCTTCTTTTGGCGCGGTTGATGCGTTCGCTATTGTGCTCGTCTCGCAGGCCAAGCAACCGTCGTTCGTCGGGTTCACCTGCTTTGCAAAGTGCGGAGAAGGAAAAACAGTTGGCTTCGATCAATATCATGATATTAGTGGCAGACCGATTGATTGGGGCTGGATTTTGTTTCCGGAACCCAAGGCAACCCATCTGAGTGCTCCCACACTTGGCTGGCTGACAACGCACTCCTGTTTTCTGGGGTCCATGCTTTTTCCAGTTGATTGCTTTTTTCCTTTATTTCCTTCTTTTTTTTGTTTCTCCTCTCTCTCTCTCTCACGCTCGCTCCTTGATGCCCCTGTGGAAAGCCAGCAAGCGCTGGATTCCAAGGTGCCGGTGACTTTGAGAATAGCTCAGAGTCTGAGGCCGGCTGCGACATGGTGCGTTTGGTTTTTCTCTCACGCCTTGCACTTTGGACAGGGTGGAGGCGATACGGCGCGTGCCGATGAGTTTGAGTCCCAAGCTCAGGCGGCTTGAGCGATTTGAGCTCATTACTTCTTACATTCAATGGTGCTAAGATGGTTTCCAAACTTATTCTGACCGCTCTAAAGGCTTTGATTAATTTCCCCTGTGCAACTTTGCGCTGGAGGGTTGCGCAATGGCTTCGCATCAAAGGTCAGATTCAGAGGCCTCGCCAAGTTCCCCAACGCGCACGGCAGAGGCAAGGACTTCTTAATCAAGTCCGGCAGTCTGCAACTTATGCAGCGGGTAACTTCAGGTCATAGCAGGTGACAGCAGGTCATACAGGTCTTGGCAAATCATGGCTTTAGCATAGCAGGCGCGGCACAATGTTGGCCAGAACTTATTGGGGAAACCGGCAGCCTGCATGACAGGAAGTGCACATCAGCAACTAGCAGTGACTGTTCAACCTTACATTCATGGTGTTGCTTTGCAACTTTGGCTCAAGTAGAGGGCTTAGAATTGTTGTCCGATCTCAGAACTAATCTCCAGCCATGCCATGCCATTTGAGGATGCATAAGTGTCATATTTACAGGTTCCAACGAAAAGCGCAAGGGCTCGCACGCCGTTTGTTTTGGTTGAAGCCCCCGCTTGCAGCCCTATGCCAGTGCTTTGCTATAGCACATGGGCACTGTGAGACGTTCCAGGCGGGGCTGCGATGCCACATGGCCAGGCTGAATGCTGCAAGCTGACCCACGAGGGATAGGCTAAATTAAGAACTCACCTCTTGTCAAACTTGAGAATCCACACAGCTGGACGTTTTGAGCGATTCGCGAATTGACCGAGGCCGGGCACCTGAGACCCGGACATGCTTGACAGGCCGGGCCCAGTTTGCTGGAGCCGGTTTAAGCAATCCGTCAGCAAGTCGCATCGCCAGATATCTGATTTGATGCGATTTTCGTTGTGTTGCCTGCTTGAGTAGAATGTGGGATGGTGACTGCTAAAGGGCCCTCAAACAACTTGGGGTCACTAGAGTCGGCAGAAAAATGTTGGGTCATCATGGGTACGAGTTCCAATGGGCAGAACATGCTACTGTTTGTTTCACGTAAGTGTTGAGTTCATATTGGCTTGGTTCTGCTTTGGTTTGGCCCAGTGCTGTTGAACAATTGGGTTGGCATTGGTTTAATCAGATAGGCTCGTTTATGACAACAGGAGAGATATTCGCGGCTTTTTTGTTGCAGGTTGAGGGAGCTTTTCTGCAACCTCTCAGATCGTTAATCGCTATCCGAAGCTTTACGCATCATGCCGCAGGGCATGTCGTGCAGTGTTTCCTTAAGCCGTTTGTATGTCAGGTTTCGGCAACGCAGCAGCTCTAAGAAGCCCAGTGGCAAGGCCTGGAGTCAGGGCCACACCTACATGCAAGACCGTGCGGGAAGGCGTCCTGGTCTCTCTGATGCATGCCTGACCTTGTTTATCAAGATTGGCATTCGCACCACGCAAAGACATAGTGCTTTGGAGTTTGTCAGCGTTGTGCCAGCCTGCGAGGAAGTAGAGGCCACGGCAGAGCCTGCAGAAGACAGGCATCTTGGAAGAAGCGTCACGCGCGAATCGGGCAAGACTAGTATTTCTGTGGCTGCCTGGGAGCCAAGGGATGGCGGTGTCGCGTGGCATCTCGCAGAGGAAGAGAGCGGCGACGAAGTCCTTCAGGCACGTAATTTGAACATGCATCAATGCTACAAATCAGCGGAGTTCTTGTGATGTTCTTGTGGCCAGGCTTCGCTGGCATGTGCTGGATTTGAAACAATCTGCCGTTGCAGAGTGGTTGCTGCCCAGAGAATCTATGCTCCAGGTGCGCAGTTCCAACCCTGGCATTGCTGCAGTGCAAGTTGGGCTGGCATGATTGCGTGCCGTGCGCCTTTTTCAACCTGGTCAGCAGTGCAATTGATGGTAGTGACTGGTATTGCATACGCGCCAGGCCGCCGTAGTTGGATCTCCGCGCTCTGGAACCAGTGCCTCGGCTGTGCTTCTATCCGATTCTATTTGTGCTGTGAACAGCTTGTAGGAGCACAGACTGTATCTTCAATAGAAAGTTTGGTGACTGATGACCTCAAGCTCTGAAATGTCTTGCGGTCGAGGTACAGTGGCATCATACTCGCACAAGGAGCGGGGGCCGGTCTCGTCTATATAGATGTGCAGGGGAGTATGTTTCTGTTGTTGTGGCTGCAACTCCAAAAGGAGTTCGGACAAAAACAGCATGGGCCACACCGTGTGTGGTGCAGCGCACGTGTGCATGTGTAAATGTTCTTTTCGCTTGGCAGCAATGTGAATTTGGCTGGTAAGCCTTTCAGCTACAAAGGAGGGTTGCGCCAGAGACCACCGATGCCAATGGGTTGGCTTCTGTGGCTTGCGCTTCTCCGCTTCAGCAGGGCACAAGACCTGCAACTTGCTTTGCGAGGCGCGGCGGAGCGTATTTTGAGCAACCTCCCGAGCTGTGCTGAGAAGCCGAACTTTCAAGTTGCACAGAGTGCTTGGTGTGGCAATCAACGCGAGCCAGTCGCCTGCTACAAAGAAGCGAGCAATCCAAACCCAATTTGGGATTGCCACTTGCCCGCATACGGGCGGTGCACTACTGGTGCGTTGGCATGCGCGTGGCCTGGGAAGTCCCCCGCACAGCCCATGCAACCAATACCTGCGCCGTCACCAATTCCACCACAGGATGTGCCAGATGTGCCAGGTGGCCAGCCTACGCGCTTTGTGACTTGGAACCTCTATGTGTTCACGCTGGCGGGGCGCATTAACCCGGTGGTGGATGAGATGATGCGGATGCAGCCTGAGATAGCAGCCATCCCGGAGATGTGGCACGAGAAGGGTGCCATCTTGAGCCGCCTGAACCAGCTCTCCGGCAATGTCTACTCCTTTGCCAGTGGCGGGGCGACCGAGCAGTTCAATGATGCGGACATCCTGTTCCGCTCGGACAAATGGGAGCACTTGGCCAGTGACCTGGTACCCTTCTCTGCTGGCAGGGCTGTGAACTGGGCAGCCCTGCGCCGCAAGTCAGATGGCTACACGCTGCTTGTGTCAGGTACTCACCCCTTGTGCTGCCAGGGCGACTACGTTGTCATGGAAGCCATGCAGTTTGTGATCCAGACTTTGGCTCAGGTGCAGCAGCAGCACCCATACCCCATCGTGCTCATGGGCGACTTGAACACGGGCTACTTCCAGCCTTCTCAGCAGCTGCTGCGACATGGCCGCACAGATGCCTATGGCCGCCACTGGGACATTCCCATGACCTTCACCGATGCCTGGGCTGAGCTGCACCCAGGCAATCCGGACCCATCCACCATCAACGACGATCCAGTGCGACTGGACTACGTCTACTTTCAGAAGACTCCAATCAGCGTTGGGCCTATCGTGCAGTCCCAGGTTTGGCCAAGAGCAGCCGGCAGCGACCACCGGGCTGTCTCTGGCGATGTGGTCCTGCAGCGTTGACACATGTTGACAGGTTTCATTGCAGTGGCAGGAATTCGGACCTTTTGAGGCTGCTTTGGCGGCATTGATTGAGTTTTCTTGCCTTTGCCAGGCAATTCTAGGTTAGAGCTTTTCTTGTGCCTGCTTGCAAACCTTGCGTGTAGCACTTGGTTCGGCATGCCCGTGGTTTTCCTTCACCTTTTTGCCGAACCCTGCGAGAATACAGACACGCATGCAATTCACAATTCGGAATTTTGGTTGCGCTGGGCAATGCAGACGGGCCTTGCCTGCTGAATTGCCCAGCGTGCGTCATACATTGAAATACGCCAGTTGTATCCAGATCCATTTGTAGCCAACCTGGCCGCAAGGATGTTTGGAAAAGAGGAGAGCAGGGCAAGAAGGGCCGCCCGAAATCGGCCCGAGTGGCCCTGTGCATGTTGCTGTGAGTGGTGCTTTCTGTTGAAAGGAGCTTTCTTTCTGCGGGTCGGACGTGCACATCCCTGCCAGCGCTTCACTGCTGGACGGCCTGCGCATGCTGCTCGTGCACCACCTTCGAAGTAGTGCTGGCACAGCCACTCGGGCAAATCCAAGACTGCAATCGGGTCTTTATCAGGATTTGTCGAGCTTGTTTGGGTGACAGCTTCCTGAATTTTCTCAGGGATGATAGGCAAACAGCACGGGACAGGCACCAATCGCACATTGGCCGTGAGTATGCGCATTCTGCGGCGCGCTGAAGTGGAAGAAGCTGTTAAGGAACACATCAACCTGACCACAGGGCAAGCGGAGCTGTTGGAGCACCACTTGTCGCGCCTGGCATCATACGCGCAGAAGATCGCCCCTAGCCGAGTGTATCATAAGTAGCCGTGCGTGCTTTACGGTGCGGTGTGCGGGCCTGAGGGCATTCGTCCTAGGTCCACACGCTCGCCTTTGCCACCCGTTTCCTCTCGAGAGAGGAACAAAGTCAGGGCAGTCAGGGCCTTGGACTTCAGGAAGCCCAGGCCGTTGGCGCGTGAGTGTGATGGTGTGATGCAGGCCAAGGCGAAAGCCCCAGCGCGGAGGCTGATGCAGCTCCTCCAGGAGGCTTCAGCTGCATTTGCCCTGCTTGGATTCGCTTGTGGCAGCAAGTTCCCAGAGGTCTTAAAATCGTAGGGATTAGCAGGTGAGCAGCGCTGCAGTTGCCTGACCCAGGCGGTGAAGAGTCCGCGGAGCCTAAGCGCTCCACTTTGAAATTGAAGGACTTGGCGGCCATTGTCTTTTCTGACCATTATCCTTGGTCGTGTCGTGCGTGTCGTGGTGTGAGCCTTGCAAGAAGCACAGCCCGCCCTTTATCCTGATATGCCTCGACTGCTGCTGCTTGGTGTCGGATTTGACGATTCTGCACCGTGCGAGGATAGGGAGCTGCTGCAGATCTATCGCCAGGCTCAGATGGAGGCTGCCGCGGACTGTGGCGTGGGAAACATATTTGGGAGCTATTGATAGACTTGTACTGTTGCAGTTTTATTGCCAAAAAAAACTTATCATTGTTTGTCACTTTTTAGTTGAGCGTCAAACTTGTCGGAACCTGTTCTTCAAACTTGGGCTGCGTCCCGTTTGTTTGCCTGGAGGCCTGCCGCGAAGCTGATTGGCGTGGTCTTGAAACACCGCGCACAACTGCCCGCAGCGAAAGACGCCCGCCTCGCACAGCACCGTATTTTGACCTTGGCAATAAGGGAGCCAGAAAGGCCAGAGACGGTGTTGTCTTCATATTAGGGGCAGGAAATGGTCAAGCCAAGTCTGCGGGCTGGCAATGACAACTCAGGCGCCCACAGCGACAGCTCGCAAGGATCCAGGCTCTTCGTGAAACAAGGCACGATGGGAGGGCAAGCGCGTGCCATGATGCATGGACATCGGGCTTGGCCCCAGGAGAGGATGCCGAGCTGCTGCGGGCCATCAGCCGTGCGATGCGACAGCCCGGGCGTACGCCCGAGGCATTGGCAGCGGAGATTGCTCCTCGGCAAGCAGAAAATACTCAGAGAGAGCGCTTTACCTGTGGTTCTTCATGGGATTTACAGCATGCTGCTGGGCAGAGGCCGGCGCATCGGCTGTGGCAGGGGAGTTTTGGCCCAAGAGGATCCATTGAGGCCTTTGCCACTTTTGCCACTGCCATGGCCCGTCTGACCATCTTCCTGCTCCCCGCGCTGTGCCTGAGCCAGGAGGTTGCTAACTTGCCGAGCCTGCGTGGCTCCCGCAGCTTAAGTGATCTCCCCAACTGCGCCACGCAGGCCAACTTCCAGCAGGCCCTGGCCACATGGTGTGGCCAGCAAAAGGAGCCAGTGGCCTGCTTCAAGGGCGCTGACAGCCTCAATCCTGTTTGGGACTGCCACCTTCAGCTCCACTCTTCATGCTCCGGAAGTGCCTCGCCGTGTGCGTGGCCCATGGAGGCTGTGGCAGAATCAGCGCCAGCAAGGCAGGCCTCAGGAAGTGATAGCCAGGTGCAAGGTCAGCCTACGCGCTTTGTGACTTGGAACCTCTATGTGTTCACGCTGGCGGGGCGCATTAATCCGGTGGTGGATGAGATGATGCGGATGCAGCCTGAGATAGCAGCCATCCCGGAGATGTGGCACGAGAAGGGTGCCATCTTGAGCCGCCTGAACCAGCTCTCCGGCAATGTCTACTCCTTTGCCAGCGGCGGGGCGACCGAGCAGTTCAATGATGCGGACATCCTGTTCCGCTCGGACAAGTGGGAGCACTTGGCCAGTGACCTGGTACCCTTCTCTGCTGGCAGGGCTGTGAACTGGGCAGCCCTGCGCCGCAAGTCAGATGGCTACACGCTGCTTGTGTCAGGTACTCACCCCTTGTGCTGCCGGGGCGACTACGTTGTCATGGAAGCCATGCAGTTCGTGGCCCAGACTTTGGCTCAGGTGCAGCAGCAGCACCCATACCCGATCGTGCTCATGGGCGATTTGAACACGGGCTACTTCCAGCCTTCTCAGCAGCTGCTTCGACATGGACACATGGATGCGTTTGGGCGCCACTGGGAGATTCCCATGACCTTCACCGATGCCTGGGCTGAGCTGCACCCAGGCAATCCGGACCCATCCACCATCAACGACGATCCAGTGCGACTGGACTACGTCTACTTTCAGAAGACTCCAATCAGCGTTGGGCCTATCGTGCAGTCCCAGGTTTGGCCAAGAGCAGCCGGCAGCGACCACCGGGCTGTCTCTGGGGATGTCGTGCTCCGGTGATCCTCACCAAAACATAAAGGTCTTAGTTACCTAACCAATTCACGTGTGCATTCTTTGTTGTGAAGTCGGTGTGCAGCGAATGGTGCCGTGGGACTGTCAGGGGTTGACACCCTGATGTTTTACGGCAGCGTCCGCCAATACTCTTGAGGCCAGGCGTTGCTTGGTATAATTCGATTGTAATTTCACGCCCACTTCGTGGAAGTGGCGCTTGAGATGATGTGTTTCTGCCTTGGATCCGCCTCCAGTTTTCCAAGTCCGCCTTCTGTGAATGAAATGCACGAGGGCATTTTGCACCAAGCCGGGGCGAACCTTCCGTGGCCCGCAATGCGGCCACCAATATCTGTGCCAGCTGATCGTTTGACGGTTGTCCGGTTGCGACGGGCAATTGTCACTTCTAATTCGACACGGAATTTTGACATGCTTTGGGCATGACATTCGGTCAGGACCGCTTGCCAACTTCATGCTTTGGCTGATTGGCGAGCAACATGCGAAAATCCACTGCGTGCCCCTGTCCTTGTATGCCCTGACCACCGTTGTTAGCAGTTACATACTTCTGATCACTGCTGCATATCGCGCGATGCCGGCAGGCACACCGTGCCTTGTGAGGTTGACACTTCGAGCGGGGCAAGATGTTGCTCTTCACAGCCACTTGAAACAATCCGTGGCCACGCAACGCAATGCATGCTGCATGAAACCGATTCCAAACTGCGGCCGGCGGAATGTGTTTCATGGGCCCCAAGCGCTGCTTTGCATGTCTCCGGCTCCAAGGAAAGCTCAGGCGCGGCGAGCCTGCGCGACCAGCGCATCCGTGCGGTGGCCAAAGCCGCTTCCAGATCCTGGAGCGCCGGATGGAGGCTTGTGGCAAGCTGGTAATTGGCCGGAATGTCAGCCATGGCAACCTGGGTTCTAGTTGCCAGCACCCTGGATTCTGTTGCCAGGCCTGCGCACAGGCTGGGAACAGTGACCATGGCACGCCTGTACATAGTATTCTGCCACTTCTTGATTTGCTGAGATGGCATCGGCCGAGGAACAGCTGCTTGAAACTTGTGGCCAGGTGGTTATGGAATGGCCGACGGCCGCTTGAACTGCAGGGTGGAAAGGATGCTTGCAGGTTGCAGGTACAGGCAGAGCAGGAGACGCGTTGACACGCCACACATCGCTGCACTCAGGTTGAGGCCTGACCGCCAGATGCGATCGTTTCACTTTTCTCGTGCCAAAGGCCAAGTACCAACCAGCCACAGCAAGAGGAGCATACCCTAAAATCACAGATGCTATGGCTCGAAACATGTAAGTATCCATCAAAATGCTCGCAGAGTGATTTTGGTAGCGCCTGTTTCACCTTTGCAGCGGGCTCATTTGTGACTTCCTGTGGCATCCTGCTTGCCTGAATGTCATTCCTGATGTGTGCCATTGGGGCAGCCCAATTCAATCATCGAACCACCGATGGTGCCACAATCAAGTGCAAAGAGGCTCCGCGCGCCATGATTTGACATACTCCGACATTGGGTAGTTAAAGCGACGTTCTCTTTCGGATCCTTATTGAAGCAGCCTTCCATGAATGACGATTTGTCTAGTGCCGCGCTGCTGAGTTTCTTTGGCAAAGTTGCCAGGTGATGTCCCGAAGTGGAAGCGGCCAAAGCCCGCGCTCGGAGGCAACTGCCTGCCTCCAGAGACCAGCCTGGGGCCTTTACGCATCAATGCAGGTGACTCGCGCTGCGAGCGATGGCCGGACTCTGACTGCACCGGTGCTGGCCTTGATTCTGAGAGACTGAAAGATGCGTGACACTTGGTGTTGCCAGGCTACTGGTGCCAGCGACAAGGTTGGCATCGCCACAAGCGGAGAGGGTAGCTACAGATCTGGCCTCAGAAGAGTGCATCAGCAGTGAATTCAGTGTCACTGGTGCGACAGGCTGCACTATAGATGTATGTTTTTCACCTCAACCTCAAAGCCTCCATTCAATAAGCCCACCACCAACCGGTCCAAGCAGCGCCGTACCTCAAGCCAGCCCGACGCCAGCTCAAGCTTTGCCTTAGCCCGCTTTTTGGACATCAAAACCAACGACTCAAATGAAGCGAATGAAGCCTTGGAGTTCGTGGAATTTTAGTGCAAGTCAAGCCTGCTCACCACCCTCAGCTCCATTGTTAGCGCGCACTTGCGCATCCTGCCAAGGTGAATGCCAATCGCCTCGCTAGCTTCTTACGAAATTGTGAAGGGTGCTACACCACATTGCAGGCGGTAGCCAGTACAAACCATTAAACTTCCTGGACACAACACCCATTCCAAATGACACACTGATTCGACGTGACCGAGCGGTGAACATGTACGAACAGAACATCTAACACTGCACCTCGCTGAGAAGCTAACTTTGTGAACATGGCATCTCACACAGCCTGTTTTCGTCAATTCTCGTCGGGAATCTGCTGACAACGGACTTTTGCCTTGTGTCTCGGTCGCGCGCTCGCTTACCCCAGGCTGCTTTCTGGGTCAAGCCTTGGGCCTCAAATCTCCACTCGATGTCCTGAGGATCATGCTGACTGCCATGGGCGTGCATGCTGAAGCGTGTTCTTCCGCTGTTTTGCACCTCGAGATAGGCAAAGCGCTCATGGGCAGCAGTTCGCAACACTGACGTAATAAACTTAACCAACATATCAGTCTCAGCTCCGCTCTAGTATGCTCTAGTGCAGACCCTACATAGCACAGAGATGAGCTCCCCGAGCATGAATTCCCCGGTGATATCAATCAACTACATAATGAATGATCCTCAAACCAAAATCGGTCAGAGCCCTGATATTTTGTCCGGCAAAACGTGCTGAAGGACAGGCATAGGCAGAGCCCATGCTACCTCGCAGGCGACGATGAGTTCGCAAGGGATGATGAAGAGGAGGGCGAGTATGGTGAGAACGACTGGGAAGATGAGTCTGCCGGGGGGCCAGTTCACTTTTTCAGAAAGTTATACCCGAAGTCACTCACTTGGCTTCTCACCTCTTGAGCTGCACTGGGACAAGCGAGGCTGCCTCCCCACGCAAGACCGAGCCAGAGAAAGAGACGGATGTGTTGAATGTTTCTGTGCGGGCAGGGAGCTTAAGACTCATGCAAGATGTTGTGTAGGGGTATAAAGGCCGGGCAATATGTTCAGCACATTCACCCTAAGGGCCTAGACAGCCTTGCCCTGCTCTCAGCGCACTCCGTGTGGTGCTTTGGCTGGCTGGTTTGACTCCTGCACCTTGTGCAGCTCCATAAACATGCTTGGTGAGGCATTGGGCGGGAGCATGGACTTGAGTTTTGCATTGCAGGCCCCATGGTTTTGGGTACGGACGGGGTCGGAATCCGGTAGTGAGGACGCTCATGTCAGGAAGAGGAGCTCCAGGAGCCAGCCAATGCAGCCGTGCGATCCTCGAGCGTCCAGGAGGCATGCGATGAAGTGCATCTCATGTGCGCCGACTTGTATGCGGCATTTTTGCCAAGCAAGGCCACTGGGGAGCCAGTGGGAGCAGCTGCCAAACCAGTGGAAACACTGGAGGCAGGAGCTTGGCAGAGTGTGTTTGACAGCATCTACTGACGCTTCCCTGTTCCATGAGAATCTCAAGCAGTGTCAGGACATGTTGAGCGATTCACTGTTGTTTCTTGCATGTATTAAATCCATGTGTTTTTGCTTCCTATTTCACTGGTAAGATTTGCGTGCTTCCAAATGAGACCGGCAACTTTGTCCTTGCTGAGATGGTGCGCTATGCTACTCATACTGTAGGCGATATGCGCTCGCTCGCAACTGCAGGAACCTGCCGATCGACCGGCGGAATCCGAGGCAGTGCAGCACAGCCCCGCAAAAGCAGAGAGAAGACCACCCCACAGGGACGAGTTGTTTGTGTCTTGCAGTGACTTGCCAGGTGGCTGACTTCGTACCGGCCTCATACAAATTGCTTGAGGCTTTGGAATCCTTAGGTTTGGTGATGGCTTTCGCTTTTTTGTTCGGGTGCACGAGTAGTCAAGAGACCGAATTTGGGCAGCCACAGCGGGCCTTGGAAGGTCCGCAGCTACGTCACAACCTCAGGGCCAGTGATTGGCACTTGGGATGAGGCCTAGGCAGTCATTGGCAACAGCAGGGGCTGAAATCTGAGGTTCACGATTTGAGTCAACAAGCTTCAGAGCAGGCAGACGTTGCATTGCAACTCTTCACCAGCGGGTGCATTTGCTCGAAAAATTCTAGCAGTTTTCCCCCCGCCGCTGGCCAAACATGATGCTGATCCATATGTGCTGGGTGGGCAGGGTCGGTCTTAGAGAAGCTGGGCAACAGTGATGCACAAGTTGCATATCTGACGTGCTGCGGGTTTGTATGATGGACACCACCAGAATTGCGAGAACTCGACGCCTCGTTAGGATTCACACAAATATGCTTTGCCGTGAGTTGGGGCCATGAGGGTGCAACTTCGTGTTACTAGCCTGCCAGGTTGGCAGGCAAGAGCCAGAAGCATCGCAGGCAACTTGCAGTGTGCATGCAGACAAGGAGTTCTGCAGACTCATCCAGCTGTTGGTTTTGCACGTGCTTGCGCATGAGTTTGCTTAGGTTGGGATGGTACTCTTCATTTACTTGCCTGGTTCACCCTAGGCTGAAGAGGAGGCTGACGAGATCGCCGCAGTTGCCTTAGTGCGAGCATTTGCGCCTTCAGCTGCGTTCTGCTGAATGCAAGCGATCTGCAGGGGGAATATACGCCTGCCAATCTCTGCTCAGGCCATAATAGCTGCAGCCCGCGCAGTTCCTGCCTTAGAGGGGCTTTCTGTGTAGGGGCCAGCTGCCCAAGGGGGAAAGAACCATAGAATTCTTGCCTGAACAGCGCTGTGAAGATGCCACGTGCCACGAGCAAGTTGTATCAACTGATTCATCATTTTTTCCAAGTCACTGCTTTTTCCAACCTCGGCCATACCCCTTGCAGCCGACCAAGGCCGTGGACCGCCCTGCTGCGGCCACCACGAGCACCTGGCACTGGGCCTGGCTCTGCGGGAATCGCTTTGCAGATGTGAAAGTTCAGGGTTAACTGTTAGAACAAACCGCAACGACCCACAACCATATGCCACTTCGCTGGACTAGATCCCGGGGGGATGTGGTGTCCCATGATTTGCGTTGCGAGCCGTTTCAGACAGAGCCACAGTGCAGACTTCACCGGGCACGCACGTGACAAACCGCTGCCCAAGCATGCAAATGATCGAACTTGCAGAACCCTAAAGCCTAAAACTGCCAGATACTTTGGCCCTTTCCAGCAGCTTTGCATGTGTCGAAGCAGCGGTAGCAGCAAATTCAACCAGCCCACAGATCGTTCATGAGCTTGCCAATATGGCGCCAAAGGCGCCTGATGCATTGGTGGCGACTCGGGCAAGCATTTAGGGTGGGAGTTTGTCACGAATGTGCATCATCGGGGTTTGCTTGTGTGCGTGTGAGAAGGCGTCAGGGGGGATGCTGCAGCAACATGCAACAAGTGGGTGTGGCACAGGCTATAACTTATGTTAGACGCAACAGAGTGCAAAGTCGTGCTCATTTTGGCCTGAGGCCCAGACATTGTCTGTGAGCAAGGGTGTACTAAGGCCTGCTCGGAGAGTCGGGAATCTCCACGTGCCACGTGCAAGGGATAACCCTCACCAACAGTTGTTCACCATACGCCAATTGTAGTTTTTTGCACCGATTTTCTGGCAGGTATAAGGGGAGCAACACTTGGAGAGACTAGGTCATCAAGTGAATTGAGCTGCGATGAGAGAGTAGGGTCCCACGAGTGTGCATTCATATTTTGCAAAGTATGACGAGCATGTGACAAGCAAGTGGCAGGCAAATGTGTCCCACCACAAGGTCAGCTAGAGCTCAAGCCACTAAGAGCTGTCAGTGTTTAGGCCAACGCATGGTAAAAAATGCAGTCCGAAAGTACAATACTTTGCATGTGTTGCGAAGTTCCACTTGCCAGTGAGCATCATTTCCGAGAGTCTGAATTCACTTCAGGCAGAGCCTCAGAGCTGCCATGTTTCTTGCGGCTGTTTTGGCCCAGAGTCCCAAAGTTGGACACCCCGGCGCGAAGCGCCAAAGCGCCAAAGCGCCAAAGCGCCAAAGCGCCAAAGCGCCAAAGCGCCATGCCGCCAAAGCTGATGAAGCCGCTGCGCCCGGAAGAGCTGGATGTGCTGGCGCGCAAGGGCCCCTCGGCTCACACAGGACCTTGTGGTGGATCTTTCTTGTCAGGGAGATAAGCCAGCCTTGGGGCTGCACAAGGCTGAATTGAAGCGAGACCCCGCAGTGCGTGGCGCACGTTTGAGGTGCGACCGTTTGGACTTTCCATTGCGTTTGCAGGCTATTATGACGAGATGACGGAAACATTTGTGAACATCAAAGAAAAGCGCGAGGTCGTGGACAAGGATGGGTCGCACCCGTCAGAACGCAGCGCTTGGCTTGCCAACGGCCCTGACCACACACTTAAACACATGGTCAGCTTTTGCTTCTCAGCGATCCTCATGCCCCAGCCAGAAGAACTACTTGAGGTAAGTTCCACCGGGTTGTTCAATCCAGGATCGGGCCTTCTTGACCCTTGAATCTCCCAGCCGTCTCGCTGGATCAGAGTGTTGCCGATGTCGCGTGTTATCCGAACGTCCTCCGAGGTCCTGTGTTTCCGAGGCTCCCAGAATTCGACCCGTGGCAGCCCCGTGGCAACAGGAGCTCCGTCAGTTGCTGGACGAGAAGGAGGAGGTGGAGGAGGCAATTGCAGCTGCGCAGGCCGAGCTAGACGCTGTGCTCAGCTCCAACAAGGCACACCTCAAGGAGAGATGGCGGGGGGGGGGGGTGTACTCGCGTTTTTCCAATCGGAGCAGTTTGACTGGTTTGAGTCCAGGAGCAGAAGCGAAACGCCAAAGTCTTGCGGCAGCTGGAGGCGGGCGGCTCCATAGCCAGGGCGGCCCTCCGCAAGCTGCTGCTCAGCCGAATGACGCTCAAAGAGCGGGTGACAAAGGTGCGACAGGAGCTGCAGAGCGCCGGGGCGTGAGGGTGTGCAGTGCAGCTAGCTGCCATTGCGTAGGAGCTTAGGATTTCCATGTTGGCAAGAGCAGGTCCTGCTTTGATGTACAGGTTGAGTGGGTGGCTTGCCGATTTTGCTTGTTCTCCCCCCTGAAGTGAGAGTCCTTCCACCAGGACTTCAGTGAGGCGTGCAGCTCGTGCACCTCGCCGTCCTCGCCAGTGTCACGCCAGAAGGTGTCCAGAGAAGACGTGTCTATGACACGGACCCTGACTCTCGGCATGTGCCTTTGATCTGTGTTTGTGGTTTAGTGTGTTCTGTTCTGGTATTGGGGATGCGCAGTGCAGCGGTCCGATCGATTGCAAGGGACATTTGTGGTGCCAAATGCCAGATCCTGCACCTTAGGACTGGCGAGGAGGGCGAGGGTGAAGTTGCTATTCGCATGCGCCTCTACAACACGGGTCTGGAGCAGCCACCTCTCATAGTCGGCGTCTTAGACTAACGCATGGCGACCCAGCCGCGTAAACTTTCGTTGCTGGGTGCTGAGGTTTTCTTTCACGGGGAGAGCTATGTGACTGGAGATTTGGACACTCATGACTGGCTGTGCTCAGCGCTGGCCAGCCTGTCGCGGTCTAGCGTTGTGTCTGTGGCCTACAGGCAGCCGCCAGAGGTGCGATTTCCAGCACCGGTCAATGACGCCCATGCGGCTGTTGACTGGGTTGCTGGAGGCCGGGGGGAAACCTTCCGAGCCGCTTGAAGGGAAGTCTCAGCGGCCTAGGGCTTTGGCCCATGTTTATCTCGCCGACACGACGTGATGCGGGAAGGTGGCCCATCTGCTAAGCTCAAACACTCCAAGCACTCATTGTCTACAGGAACTTCGCAATTGTGAAGAGACAGCTTTGCTCACGGAACAGGATACGTCACCTTCGTGTGCCACTCACCACCAGATGCAGCTACTCTTGTCTTCCCGGCAATGGAAACTCGTGAACTGGTCGCTTGAATTGATGTGAAGTTATGCGTGTGCATCCCGGGCGAAAGATGCCAACAGTGCCATATTTGTACAGAGAAACGTCTCGCAACAGATAATTTTTGAACATCGGGATTCCAGGGTTGTGGGATCAAGGGGTTTCTCCCTTTATATGGGGGGTTAGTCTTTGGGAAGGCCTGTTTTGTTGTATCACAGAAGTCGTAACTTCCCACAGCCCCGATCGGGAGACAGGCGGCCTGGGCTGGACTCCTCCCCGCCTGGCGGTGGCTGGGGATGCAGCGGGTGGTGCGCTGGCGGTGGCCTGCGCGCTTCGCGCGCGGGAGCGAGGGCCGCAGATCAGTCTCCAGGCGGGCGAACGCGACACCTGTAGGCGTTTCCAGGTGGCCGTTCGGCTGTGATTTTGCCTTTAGCAAGAGGGTTTCATCTCAAACCCACAGCCTCCCCATCTCTAGCATGCCCCATGGTATTGCAGTACAGTGGCCGCTGCCCTTTGACTTCCCGCGCGATGCGCAAATACCTTCGGGCGAGAATTGAGCACGTTTTGACGTTCGGCAGATGTGCACTTGGCAATGCGTCCCGTTTCGCAGCGGGCCTTGTTTGCAGGTTTTGTTCTACCCGTGGCTGGACGTCAGGCAGGAGCCCTGTCTGAAAGCTGGGGTTTTAGTGGCAATGCCAGTTTTGCTGCCAATGCCTGCGCCGCCTGACAGGCCAAATAGCCAGTCCATGCAGAGCTGCAAGGAGGAGGACGAGCTCCACATCGCAATGCAGGAGGACCTTGCCTTTGCCAGTGAGGCCAGGCTTGCTTTTTTTGTTTTGCATGTTCCCCCTTTGTGGCGTCATGTGCCAACACTGCAGCCCGCAAACTGCACGTGGGCAGGTGTATGGGCCACCTGTGGTAGCGCAAGACGACGACGACGACGATGACGACGATGAGCCAAAGGTAGAGGAGTGGATGAAGGCCAGCCTGCGTTGCCATGACCATGTTTAAGTAATCATAAGAGGTTAGAGAAAGTGAAGCTGAAAGGAGGTACGGTAAAACCAGGGCAGGGATGGGGTTTTCAGCAAGCAAGCCTTGTTCTTTGAAGGTGGCGGAGGCATCGCCGCTTCTAGCGGAGTCGCTGAGCAATCTCCCACGCACATTTCTAGACTCTTGGCAGCTTCCTGGAATCCTTATGAGGCTGTGGGACCCCTTGGTTTTGTAGCACCCTTGATTTGAGGCATATGCCGCAGATGACCTGCTGGCAGCGGACTGCAGGAGTTTTGCCTCGCGCCTGCGCAAAGAATGCGGCACAGAGGCCTTGGGCTGCTGTTTATTCTGTTTGAAGGCCATCTGCTTGTTGCCCCCAAGGGAGCCACTGACGCTAGGTGACGCAAATCGGGGAAGGTTTGCGTTGGCTTTTTCCCCAGGCTGTGCACGAGCTGGAGCTGCCAGAGCCCCTGGGCCCCGGCTTTGCCAAGGACCCGCACCGCCCCGGCACTTATGCCGCCCTGGCGGCCGCCGGGGCGTTTGCCAGCGGCGTGCTCAGCGCTCCTCGCTCCGAGCCGCCTGACGGGGTTTGAGGGGCGGAGATCTCACAAAAGCCTTTGGCTCAAGTACGCAAGTGAAGAGTCACGGTTTGTTTGTTTGTTTGTTTGTTTTTTCTCATTCGTTTTGTTAATGATTTGTTTGTGTTTCTGAAGTGAGCAGATCTCGGGAGGCAAGGCTAGATGGGCAGCTTCCTCCGCAGCATGGGGTTGGCCAGCCCAAAGGGCTTATGGCCAGTCCTGTAGCAAGAATCAGTCTCACTGTCTCACCAAATAGGAGGTAGCCCATCAATTTCAGAGGCTGCCAAGCGGCGGCTTGCCAGGATAGAGTGGCATCGCGGAGAAAATGCGATGCCTGAGAAACAATGGAAATGCCACGAAGACGGCAATTACCTTTGAAAGAAAGTAGGGAAGCCACAAGTAAGTAGCTTTTGCTGTACAAGACAATTAGTGTGGTCCCGGCCATTATTCTTGGATGTCGGCACCCCGTTGCATGATCCGGGGTTGACAAATGAAGGGCCCAGAGCATGTGTGTCTATTGGCAGGCTGTCCTGGCTCTTCGATTGGCAGGGTGTGCCGGAGCACAGCCTGGGGATCCGCAGCTTCGAAATCAGGTGCGGTGTCTTTTCGCTCGCCGCATGCCACGCTGATTCATGGCCGGTGGTTCAACTGCGACCACACATGTTTCATATCGATGCTGGCTCCAAGAAGGCTTCATTCAATGCAGGGTGCATGAAGAGGTAGTTGTTGCCGAGAATGTCAATCTTTCGCCAGGTTGTCAGAAGAGCAGCCTGATACGGAGAATAGGCAGGCCTCCCTGGAGCGCCTTTGTTTGCGAGCTGTCAGCTGTGCGCCCCACACAGGTGGTCCTGCAGCTGTTCTCCGTTCCAGCGGCTCAGCGTGCACTGAGCTGCTCATTGTTTGAGCTGTTTGGCCTGGTGGCGGGCTTGCCACGTGGCCACATGATGACATGCCCCACAAGAAGTGCCGGCAGGGCTTTGTGATTCGTTCTCTTTTCGGAGATAACATTACTGGCTTAGCCGGGCTTGTGGCGTAGCGGGGTAACTGGCAGACCGAGGTTCCAGCTCCCAGTGGGCCGCTGCTACGTGCTGCAGGTTAGCGCCGTCCTGACCAGCAGCTTCTTGTATTAGCGCTTGGCATGATGGAGAATCATTTGGTTGCTGTTTTGTTCTCGGGCCCAGAGGTGTTCCATTGCGGTCAAATGCCACTCACCCGGTCCTGAGGTTCTGGTCAGGTGCTGTGGGCCTCGCCTGCTGCCGAGGCGCGTGCGGACCTGCGGTGCCTTAGCGGCCCAAGAGCACGACAGGCCCGGAGCGCACGCGGAGTGGAATCGGAGGTTTGTTCGCCAAAGGAGCACTTGGCATGACATCATTCCTGCAAGGCCCAGACTGCAAAGCCGAGCTTCCAGGCTGGGAGCCGGGGCCACCTGCAAGTTGCATGTTTGACATGGCAAGTGGCTTGGGGATCCACAGATCTTTCCACACTTCTTCAAATACCTTCTGTCTTGGAGTCGTTTTCGAAGTTTGGCCTCTTGGCCCAGTCCTTTGTTTGTCAAGGACTTCCTGGCCAAGCGAAGCAGCGGAGCCTCCGCAGGGCCATATCCAGCGCAGGCGGCCGAGCAACCTGTTTGCAAGGGCAGCCATAGCAGCCATATCAAGAATCAGTGACGCTAACGCAGCTTGCTTAAATCCTTGATCGGTAACCTGTTCTTATTTGTTCTTGTTTCTGAGTGTTGTGCCTGGATTATGACAACCTGAGCTGAGGAGGGAAAAGGGGCTGCCGTCTGCTGAAGCACTGGGCAAGGATGATCCCCGATCCCCAGCCACTACAGCTGGTGACGTGCTGTTTGGCGGCACCCTATGCCTGCTGAGCGCAAATCAAAACCATATTTTCTCACTTCCACTGGTCTCAGGCTTGCGTCTTCCCCAGACGCATCTCCAAGCTCTGCAGAATCAGCTGGTGCATCGAGCTGGTGTTTGCAGCAGCTCCTGCTTCATGAGTCAGCCAGGCAAGGTGAAAGAGCAGCTTCGCCACTTCACACCAGTCCTGATGGCAGCTGCAGAGTTATTTGATCTCGGTCGCTCAGCCACACACCTTGCGCCCTCGCTACCCTTGTGCAGGAAAGCACTTTTCGACGCCTTGCAAATGGCCATGGTGGCGCGCTGCCGGGGTACAAGCCCCGCAGTACGAGAGCACGTGGCTGCATACCTGCATGCGCGGGTGAACAAAGGCCTGGCTCGCGTCGCATGTCAGAGGATGGGGTAAGGAAAAGCCCTGGAATATGTGAGGCGCATCACGGGATGTGTCTGTGACCTGCAGGCACCGAGGATTTCGACGCCTTCCAAGACCTACCGGACGAGCCAGAAGAACCTGAAGCACCAAGCACGCTGGAATGTGAGGCCAACAGCCTCAACTCGGCAAGCCCACCACAGCCCCTCACACATATTTCAGGAGCGCAAAGGATTCACTTCATTTGAGCAGCGTTTTTGTTTCTTTCTTTTTTTTCAGATGAAACTTTTCAGCTTTCTCCCAAAAGGTCTGCGAAGGCTTGCAAAGTCTTTCACCCACTAAAAAGACTGCTCATGACTCATGACTGGGCCAGTCGACACTTGCCTTGCAGGACTTTCTCGGCCACTCCTGGCTGTCCCAAGGGGCTGCTTCCAGAGCAAAGTCTCCGCCATGAGTGAGGTGGAGCGCGACATTGCTCGGATCGCTGCGAGCCCCAACCCCAGGCCGCAAACTCTTATGCAGCTGTCCTTCGCCGCTTTGCCTTTTAGCCTTGGCCCTTGCCAGGCTTTTCCTGATCGCTGGGTCGTCTCCTCTCCAGCCTCTTCGCCTACAAGCGCACAGTTCGTGCAGGGCCCAGCCTAGAAGTTTTGACGGATGCTCCAGCTGATCATCTCAACACATCTCATCATTTCGCTCCCTCAAAAAATGAGTCGACCAGTTGCGTCATGGATGCCATCCACAGATAGTTCACTTTCTTCCAGCCTGGGCTTTCTGTCTATGGCGGTTGCAAATCCAAGGGGCCTGCAGCCATTGCAAGCCGTGCTGGAGAAACTGGTGCTCAGCGATTTGAATACCTTTGCAGCCCGGGTGGCTGCTGCAACTTGTCGCGTTGAGTTATATATTTGGTGCGTAGTGTGCCGATGTGTAAAGGGCTGACTAAGATGCCCCTCCCTCAACTTCTTGCTTGCCGGGAATGGCAGAGGCAGAGTGGATGGCAAATTGTCGTTTCTTCAGGCAGCCGACGAGCCTAGTCAGTCAAATCCAAATGACTATGCCTGTTCAAACAACTTTGAAATCGTGAGGCCATGTCCGCCAGCATTGGAGTGGACTTCGCAGTCCAGGTAGGGTTGCTGCCACAGCCCCGTGGCAAGCACAGGCTCAGCCCAGTAGCGTATTGCTTGCTGAGCACCAGTCGAACGAGGGACGACAATCTCGAGGTTTCACCAGCCAATGTATGTCCTAGTGATGCTGGGTGGATCTGGAGGCTGGGAGGGTGTAGGGCATGCTTGTTCGTGTTTCCGCTAGCGGCGCCACTAGCATCGCGAACATGAGACTCGGACCCTGTCAACATGTCCATGTCTGCATTTGATCCACTATCCCTCGTATCCTGGGCACAAAGCAGAAACTGCGCTGATAAGAGGTGTTTGGGGGCAGCAGTCCCAGCCAGGTGCACGCTTGCTCTTGAGCGGCTTCGTCTCTGCAAAAACGAAGCATGTGTCGCTTGGCAAGCGTTTTCCAGAGGCGGCCTGGCAGGGCAGAGTGTTTCGACTGCAAGGCGCGGGGACCGGCCAGACAACAAGTTTACTTCCTGGATCGCAACTCTGGCTTCTCCCGACCTGTTCCGGATGCCCGGCGGAATTTATGCTGGTGGGCTTGACAGGCTGCAATGGTAGGTGCATGTTGTTGAGAAGGCTCCAGCCGCATGATGCTTCACTGGAGAGGCACATTTTGTACCATCACGCCATGCCCGGGAAAGCCATAGTGTGCAAGGTCGGCTGGGCAGCCGGGCAGCATTTGGGAATGGGAGTATTCCGTGCGAGAAGCCTACGCTGATGAAATAGGCCAAGGATGATGGTGTGTGTGCGCGCGCTGAGACAGGTCTTTCATCACTTTCTTGGCCATGTTAGTGGCCAAACGGCCAGAAAGGTCAGCAGAAGCCTTATTTGACTTGCGTTGGTGTGGGGGCTTACCACTGTCGTGCGATAGTTTCATAGCCAAAAGTTACTGACTGAGCAAAGCGTTTGCCTTGTGGCAGGCGCAGCGCTGGAGTGCGATGTGCTGCCAATCCAGGACATGGCCAGAAGCGGGCGGTGGACTGGTTTGCCCCAGCTGGGGTAACAAAAGTGGCACCTGCGCGGCGTCAAGTGCTGAAGGGGCAAGCTGAGTGAAAGGGTTCTCCCAAATCAGAGCTCCTTTCGGACATTTGATTTGGAATTGTATTCAACCTGACACATTGAATGTGCCAAGCGAACTTAGTTACGTGGTGAAGTTTTTGCAGCAACCATCCTGGATTGGCATCCATCCTGGATTTCGACCCCCTCCCCAAAGGCGCTGAATGGCGCACGGCCAAGGCACTGGGACGAGCCCTCCAGAGAGGTGGAGGCAGCGGCAAGGCGCTCAGAAGCCCCGAATATTGACTTTGAAGGGAAGCGAAGAGGGAAGATAAGGTGTCAAAATGGAACACTCTTTGTGACGCCGCACTTGGTTCCATGGCTGGAGTTGTCCCACTCAGGCGTCCACTGCGGGCCGGGATGCTGTGGAGTTTGGGTTGGGGCCTTGGGCATTGCAGCTGGCCCTTTCGCAACTCTTCGTCTGCGTGGAATGTGTGACATTCTTTGCTGGTGCTTGCTGGCGCCTAAGATTTCCTGAGGCCAGTGGGAACTCCTCCACCAGATGATGTGGCGGGCCCAGACTCGGCCGCAAAGTGGGAAGCAAAGGTTTCAAGGCCAGAACGCATGCAAACTAGGCTCCGCTTGGCTGGGTTCGAGATGCTGCAGTCCAGTGTTGGGGCCTCAGACCCGAGTGCAGGTTGCATCACGCCGCAATCCCAGTTGTCATGCACCTGTGCAATCCTGTGCACCTGATGAGGTGGCACCAGCGGCAGCCCGTCGCCAGGGGAGGCGGGCTCCCTGGCTCCCTGGCTCCCTGGCCCGCGGGAAGATTGGATTGCAAGTTACAAGTCATCCCGTTGCAGGCACAGCGGCAAAGCAGTCTTCCTGCCTTCAGTGCCTCCCGCAGATGAGTTGATTTGCTCACTGTTGATTCTGATTGAGACTCCCCAAGCATGGCCCCAACCCGCTGCCGCATTGAAAGCTGGTCTGGAAGTCGTGGCGTTCCGATCCTTGCTTCGAAGCGGCCGCAGGAAAGGCAAACGTCAGGCCAATGCTCAAAAAACGCATGTCATGAAACCTCCAATCTGTGCTGCGGCACTGAGGTGCAGCCCGCGAGGCGTTTTTTGTGGATGAGGCGCGCTTTCATCCCGTGCAATGACCATTGCAGGGCCCAGGGCACATGCTTCATGCTTTCAGCCAAGTCGACGCTTTGCTTCACGCAGGTGGCGCTCGAGACGAAAGCAGTGCAAGCGGAAGTGGTCGTTCGAGAAGGTGTTCATAATTTGGGCGATGTGCGTGAAGGGGTGATTAGGGATTCACCATAGCTGCTGAGTTCCATCCTTGACGTGCAAGTCACCGTGTGTGCAGGTGCTGCACCGGCTCGCAGCTGGCTGAGCTGCATGCAGCCGTGGGATCAAGTGTTCGGCTGGCTAGTAACGCAAGAAGATGCAGTCAGGGAGTTCCAACGTTAGCAGGTTGCATGCTGGTACTGCTCTTGCAAAATCACGGTTGGTTTTTTTTGGGGGCTTTGCCTAGAACCAGAGCTCCCCCACTACTCCCAGGCGAGCTGCTACGGAACAGCCTCTCTGCCACCCGTTTGGAAACCGTAGATGAGGGCGAGCGCGAGGCGAGGGGCTCGGGTGTGAACTTTAGTTGGAGATCCTGACTTTGGTGGGGATTTATGTTTGAGGGTCAGGGACGCACGGTCACAATCAGATCGTTCGTTTGGGTGTAAAATCCTCCATGGGCAGAGGCGCATCCGCAAAGTATGCAAAGTCCAGCTGTTGTATGGCGAGTTGCCTCTTGAACCAGGTTACGCGTAGGAAACATGAGGATTTCCCCGGATGGCCAGGAAACCCCGCCGACGCCCAGCGCAAATCCGGAGGAGGCTGAGGACGGGTGCAGGGTCACCGCCCGCAGCAGACTCGGGTGACTGTCGAGTGCAGGACCATCGGCCGTCCCAGGCAGTGGGACATAGCGCGGGCATAGTCAAGTGCTGATGTCATTCTGTGGGCGGATCGGAGGCATGGGCCGTTGCTGGGAGCGGTTGCCTTGCCAGGCGCCAGTGCAGGCGTCTGCAAGCCCTTTGGCCCACAAGCAAGAGAGGGGCGACTTGGCTCAAGTGCTGGTGTGCGCCATTATTTTTTGACATGAACATGTGCAAATTGCCTACCGCCAGCCTAGCTTGCCTCGCAGACTGTTTTCGGAACGCTCGCTCCCCGCATGTTGATTCTAGAGGTTTTCATTTTATTTGGATTTTATTCGAGGCCTTGCTGCGCAATTGACTGCCGCGGGCTCGATGGTGGGAACATCGCGACATGAGGGCATGGTTCCTCAACACCCCCCCTTCATCATGCGCCTGCAACCCCAAACTTTGCTCGGCCGCCTGCAATCAGAGAGCTTGTGTGCTGAGAATTGGCGCCGCCGTCCATATCCTTGGTATGCAGGTGAGCCTTCTTTGGGCCGGGCTTGAAAGCTAAGTGACCTAAGGAGGAAGCACCCTATTTTTGCCAACCCCCCGTGCCGAAATCGTTACGGAAACTGAGGGCCAGCGAGCCCTGGGCCAGGCGCAAAGTCGGTGCCTTGCTCAGCCGGGCGTGGCAAGCAACCAAGTGTTTTTTGGGTGCAAGCACTGAGCAGGCCGGGGACGGGGCAAGCAAAGCAACAGGATTTGAACCCCGTCAAAAGTGACCTTGCGCATTGAAAAGCTGTGCGGCGGCTCGAGGCCATCCGAAAGAAAAGCACAGCACTGGCCTGAGAACTTGGATCGTTGGGTTTGGCTCTGCAATATTCTAAGTTTTTTTTTTTTTTTTTTTACATATAAAAGAAAACATTGGTTGCAGCGACTTGGTCCTTGCCAGCTGATTTGGGGGACTTCCCCCCAATCCGATGGGACTTGGTAGGTCACGGTCACCTCCTCCACGATCCCTCTCGCCAGTGCAGCCGGTGAGGCCAGCGCCTCACGGCATCCCATTGACCCATTGGCAGGGTGGCAACGAATGGCCAACAGCGCTATTACGATACTTTCCCATGAGTTCATGAGCATTGCCTTATAATCACGACCGGCATTCTTCAGCCACATGATGAATTTCCGTTCCCTGCAATATCTTGCAGTATTTGGGGAGCCAACTGCGCCCAGAGATTCCACTCCTGCCGGCTTCAAGAAAACCAGCAAATCCAAGTAGTAGCCACACGTTGCCTGATGCTCTCATGTGACATGGGCACACATCCACCAGCGTGTGCGACGGAGACCAAAGGGGACGCAAGCCGAAAATTCGTTGACTCATCGGAATCATTTTGGGTTCTTCAGCCAAAACGAAACAGGTAGGCAAACGCAGATTCTCGGCCTTACCAAAGGTAAGTATGGTGTAGGAAATGTGACAGGCAGATGGCACAACATCAAGGAGAGTCTTTTGGCGCACGAACCGGGGCTCAACCCGGCGAGGTGTCTGTTTGGTTGGTTGGCTGGCTGGCTGGCAGGAGGTTGGGTGGCTGCATCCCCCCCCGGTGGCTGTGATTTTGTGGTAGTTCAGAGTTGCTTGGCTGGCTGCCCAACGGCGGTGATTTGGTTGGTTGGTCGGTTGGTTGGTTGGCTGGCCGCAGCCAGCCGGCCGGCTGGCCGGTTGGCCGCGTCCCCGGCCGCTCGGACCTAGGGCTGCCTATTGGCTTTGAGTTTTATGCTTTCTGCGGTCGTAATGAGGGTTTGTTTGGGGTTCACACTAAGCTTGGCAAAAGGGCTTATATCCAGTGTGCTGTTGGGTGGGTTGGAGGTTGGCTCGGTTTGGGTTGGCTTGGAGTTGATTGCGCTGGGTGTGCGACTCGTTTTTGCAGGGCAGCTTTGGGATTTCAACATTTCCGTCGTTTATTTTACGTAGGAGTGTTTCATGCACAGTTTTTGTTCTTTTTCGAAGTCTCAAAATCATACGGGACGTGCAGAAAAGCGATACCCCAACACCTTAGAAACAACATGAAAATCGATGCGGGACGTCCTAACATCGGAATAGATGCACCCCAGACAGACAAGTCATTGTGATGCTGACTCATATGCCGCATGCCTTCAGCAAGATATCTACATTTGTCGAAGTCTCATGCGGTATGAGCGCGAACGTCTGAGGCCGCTGCTCCCTGAGGAGCAAGAGGCCCGTGATGATCCGCGATACTGCGCTACTTTCCGTGCAAGACCATCCGTCATTGTGTTCAGTACGCTGCCTGCAGGCACTCTATAGTGGACTGAGCCAAGCGCCATCGGGCCCATTGGCCTTCAGCCAGCCCGGCAACATTGGACTGATGGCGGGGAACTTCCTGTTTGGGCACAACTTTTCCACGCAACGGATCCATCAAACGGTTTCACTAAGTGGTTTGGTACAAAGCCGGTGGCTGTCCACATCCCGACCAAACCATCCTGAACATCCATCGGGCCAGGTCGTTGCCTGCAGGGCAGACGTCCAACGCCGCCTGGATCGCCAGCAAGTGCCTGAGGCGAGATGAGGCGAGCGTTCTTTTAATTGATGGAAGGGTGACAATGGGCGTTAGTGATGCTAAACTACGGGCGTGAAACTAGGTTGGTCAGTCCCAAAAACTTTTAAATTCCTGATCAACACTTTTGCAGCCAGGTGATATGGTCCATGGCCGCAGCTTCAATCAAGAACCCATGAATTGGCCGGCGGGCGTAGTAGGTCGTTACAGGAGAGGGACGAAAGCAATCTAGGACCTGGATTCTAGTCTGAAACCACCAAGCCGCAGCTTGCACAGATTTGTGGCTGGCATGGCTGGCAAGTCATGACCTACCGCATGGCAATCGACCACCAGATGAGCCACAGCATTTGTGATTTGGAGTTTTCATAGTCTGAGGATCCGTCATGGCCAGCTACCCAGCGGACGAGTAGCAACTGTCTTCAGAGAGTTCGCCTGGCGTGCGCAGACACGTGCGCGCGGCGCAGGGCGGCGAAGTGCAGCAACCGCATTGGGTTTCATGCAACGATTTGTTTGGTTCGTTCTCGGGCAGGTCTAAGATGTGCAGTGCAGATCACCTGGCAAGCAGAGTAAAAGTGTTTTCAAAGTCCGTCGAGAATTCCAGTTCTCCGCAAGCAGCCGCAAGGTCTGATTCGGAAGGGCACAGGGCTCAGGATGGTGGCAGGGAGCGTTGCAAGGCTTGCTTGCATCCTTTTCATGTGAGTGGCTCTATGGAGGCAGATGCGCATGGCAGACGGGATCCGATTGTTCGTGCCAGTTCATTCTGTGTCGTGTTCCGACACGCAGAGTTTGCAAAGCAAGATGCCCAGCATGTGATGCAACCAACACCTGCTCGAGCGTACCTTGAGTCATGGCAGTGATTCATGGCGCTGTTAGCCGGGCGGTTCACGCCAGTGCCAATGCCTCAGTGCAAGCTGGAGCTTGGTGGGCTCATACCTTCCTTGCTTGCTTATTTGGGTTCCTTTGTTCCATGCTTGGTCTTGCAAATGCTCGTTTCTGATTCAGGGAAGGTAAAGAACTTGCTGGGAAAGCTGGTTCAGAGCCTTTGTGCTGAGCTGTGCCCAGACAGCCAGGCCAGGCGCCCAACACCTGTCCCTGACCTGCATCGAGACCGCGAGCACGGGGGAGAAGGCCAGCACATAGACGGATTGCCAACTATCGCCAGACACAGATGTCATATAACACATATATGGTAAAATTAGGAGGGCGGCAAGCCCGATCCGCCGACGCAGGCCGGTATGGTTTCACTGGCTTCTTCACTCCTGTGGCTGGCACGTTGCTGCTGCTGGCAGGGTGCAAGAGCCAGCGCTGCAAACGCGTGTCGATGCATCAGCGCATGCAGTCCGCGAGACATGGAGGAGCTGACGGGTTATTCAGCCATATTCAGCCTGAGTCGCATCAACGAATAAGTGTCGAACATATGCGTTTGTGTATTTGGGAAAGGGCCATTTAGATGGTGGACTGTGGACTCAATCAGAGAGAGAGAGAGAGAGAGCGAGCGAGCGAGAGAGAGAGAGAGAGACAGAGAGAGATAGAGTGAAGAGAGAAGAGAGAAGAGAGAAGAGAGAAGAGAGAAGAGAGAAGAGAGAAGAGAGAAGAGAGAAGAAAGAGAGAGAGAGAGAGAGAGAGAGGCAAAGAGACAGATATAGAGAAAGAGATAGGCGGGCAGGGAATCAACTCCGATGTGGCAGATCGAGTTGGTCTTTGCGTGGTTTTTCTTCTCCTTTTCCGCCGCACCTCCGACGATGGCGTTATGTCGGAAAGCCATGCATCACTGCCAGGTCTGAGATACAGTTACTGTAGTCTGACGCGACGTGCGCGCAGGTTGGGGTCTGAGTGCCAGTGGAGTCGGGCCACGCCAGATCCTGTCAGATCCGTGCAGCTCCGGGTCGGAGTCTTTGCGTGGGCCACCCTGGATCTGACCAGATGCTCGCGGGTTGGGCTCGGAGTGTTTGCGCAGGTCCAGGCCGGATGCGATCAGATGCATGCAGGTTAGGGCCAGAACAGCACTTTTACATCTCTCTCCACCGCCAAACCGTTACTCCAGAGTGAATTGGCTGGGTGGCCAAGGAAAAGGCATGAACGGTAGGAGCTAGAGGCTCTCAAAGAAACCGTTCACATTCCATCTTATCCGTTCCTCCAGAAGAGCTGGCTGGCAGGAAAAACCTCACTTTTGTGCTGGAAGGCTGCGATTCTCGAGCTGGATCTGCAAAAAGGAAAACTGTGCTGCTACTTTCGTGCTGAAAAGTTGTAACTTTCGACCTGGGCTAGGAAAACTCAATCATCCAATTACACAAGCGGTTCCGCCATTATTCAGAATGCTTCATCCTGTTTGCCAAAGACAAAAGATGATCTGAGCCAACGGAAGGCGCGCTTCTGATTGGCAACCCGTGGCATGCTGCACAAACTGCCCCGCCCTCGCGGGCAGGAGCACGTGGTGCTGGCGCAAGCGCTGCCAGTGATGAAAGTGCTTCGAAGGGATGGTACTTCCCCTTCATTCTGGCTTCTACGGCTGTGCGAAGCTTCGAAGCTGGAGTGGTTGCTTCTATGATGCCATCCATTCGGCAAGGCTCGCCGGCCGACAGGGCTTGCTGCCGGCATGTTGCTTCCGTTTGATGTTTTTCCTTCACGCAGCTATGATGTCATGTTCTGTTGCGCGTTGCGGGGGTTGCCCAAACTTCGATATCGATTTTTCTGCTGGGAGAACCTCGCCACTTGCCCGCCATCTCTGAAGATTCTTGTGTTTCATTTGGACAGGCTTGCACCTGAGCTACACCAGCCAGGGCAACGTGGCGGGTGCTCCGGACTATGGGATTGTGCCAAGCGGACTTCTCGCGATGGCCGTGTTCAAGAAGTTCTCTGCATACTCCGATCCTTGGCTCATCATGCACATGGGTTTTCTCGAAAGTGGCCTTGCAATGTACGAGCTGAGTTTGCCCTCTGAGGCTCTGACGTCAGGATACTTTGTTATAGCAGCAGTGTCAGTTCTATGCGCCTGTCATCCCAGCTTGCTGCTTGCCTCAACTCTTGTCCATTGAGCACGGCCCATCTTGCGGACCTGTCCCCTGTACGGTTTGCGTTCCAAGGTGGTCTTTAGTAGCCGCGCGCGCAATTGGTGGCCTTTGCTGGGGCCTTGCAGCTGTACACTACCCCACTTGGGTGAATAAGCCACCCGGCTGGAGCGCACCATGCCGCAAGACATGATTGATCACTTTGCACACGACAGAGGTACGGCCCAGCTGAGCAGCGGACAATCTGGATGGCTGGCATCAACGCGATGCTGCTGGCTGGCATTGTCAGCGGCTATGCGTGCGCCTTATGGCGCAGCCTTTGCGACACAGGCGGTTGCTCAAGCAACGTCACATTCGCCACGGAGTGGGGTCCAGGGCCATTGCCATTTCGAGGTCCTGGGCGGCCTGGCGCGAGCCACGGGCTGGGCCAACTGGCAGTCCCTCTACTTGCTGGAGGGCCTGCTCATGCTCTGCTGCGGTGTGCTGGGAAGCCGCTTTGATCCCCAGGTAGTGCAGGTCGCTTAGCTCCCATGGTTGGTTCTATTTTGCACTGCTCGTTTCGGCCACGCAAGCTCCTTCCCGAGGCAAATCCAACAACCACACAATCTGAGGTTGGACAAGCAGAAGCAGAAGATGAGGGCTTAAAAGGGCCAAAGACTAGCCCAGGCCTTCCCGCTTGTTGTTCGATTCTTTTCGTTTCATGTCTTATGCTTTCCTTTGCCACTTTGAGTGGCTTTCCACAAGTAGAGCTTCCTTCGACTATGGCCTTAGATCCATAGGTGTTTATGTGAAAGCGGTTTCTTGGCGGTCCTTACCAGAACGGGACGTAATTTGCTGAAATGTTGCACTTTTTGCGGAACAATCCCAGATCAGACTTTCATAGGAGGGTGCCATCAGGTAGTGCGAAAGCACCGCAAAGATTGTTGACAAGATGTTCATTGCCTGCACTGTGCCGCTTGCATTACTCCTCGTGTATAGTATGGTCCCTTAATATTCTACCGGGGGGGGCCTCTAGGGTTAAAAAGATGGACCCTGCTGGTAAGGCCTTTCATTGCGTTGCTCGTTCATCAAAAATGAAGCGCGCCCCTCTGTGAGCCCGACCTGTTGCTTGGAAGGCTTTTGGGTACTCGGTGTGACGTTGTGAGTGTGGCTGTGTGAGGATGCTTCGTGACGTGCCGCCTCGCAGGCGCGCGGAAGTCCCTCATCCCAGAAGAATTGAAAGCGCTGGGCCGTTCGGGTCATTTCTTGTGCACGCTCGCAGCCGGATGCTTTCAGTCTGGCGCTGTGGGCTTCATGCTTCTTGGCTGTGATCCTTCTACTTCAATGCCTTTGCACGCATGCGAATGCAGGTGGTCGGGGCATGCTGTGACTCCACACACACGCACACAAGGTGCAGTGAATAGCAGTGAATAGCATTCTGGGTGCAAAGAGCCGAGGTTATACTTCATTACGCAGGCTCTGGCTGCCATTTTTCATTGGCCGGCAAAGACTATCTATGTCATTGTAGCTTGGCTTCCTATCGTTTTGCCAGCGCATAGCGGTGTATAGTAGGCATCGGCCTCGTTTGGCAGGCATGGACATTTTCTGTTTGCCAAGCTCTTGCAGGGAGGCAGCATGGACACGCATTCGTTTCTTTCAGTGAAGCTGAAGGGACTTGAGGTGAGCCTGGTCATCACTATCGGTCCTATCGGCGGCATTGTCCTCGGAGCAACTTGGCAAGCTTGTGGCGAGGCATCGTTGGTTTACACACACACACATATATATACACACATACATCCGTCTATCTGGCTGTCTGTTTGTTTGTCTGTCTGTGTATCTTTTGCGAATTTCGGCCTGGCATTTGGCTAAAGGCCTCATCAGGTTGCAGCATGGTTGACCGATCTCATACATATGCACGCCATTTTGGCTTGGACCCTAGGCGGGCCCTCTTGAGTCGCAATATCACTTGCGCATGCAGCGCAATCGCCATGGAGCAAAAGCCTTGAGCGCCGCCTCTGCTTTAGCCCTGGTTTTTATCAGTTGGCACCGGAGCCTGTCTCGAGGCCAGTGTGCTGGTGTGACCTTCTCGATGTTCGAGGGGGAGGACATGGATTCGCAGCAGTTCCCCTGGACCCCGTCATCGGCGAGGAGTCATGCCACGCCCGAGCCCCGAGGCCACCGACCAGGACCTTCTGGTTTGACGCCCTCTCGGAGATGCTTGCGGCGCGATGAGCCGAACTTCAGCCTTGATGATGTTGGAGGCGCTTGGATGTGTGATTCCTGCGGAGCCTTGGACCAGTTTTATCAGACTGACCAGCCCACGTTCACGCGGACCGCCACTCAGGATGGTGTTTGGGTCTATGTTCCGCATGCCCCAGATTCCCCAGATGGTGAGTCCCAGGCTTCTTCGCGGTCGAACCGTCTGCTCGCAGCCGCCGTGCTCTCGCCCGACGTGCTCGACATGAAGGAGCTCCCGAGGACCCGCAGGGCGAAGATCATGAACAACCCCCTTCAGAAGTACCGACCAACAACCCCATCGCTGACCCCGACACACTTCGACCCGTACCACCTCACCCAGCCAGACCAGCGCGTCAGACAGCGCCCTGGGTTTTGCGCGCAACCTCCGGTGGTCGGGCGCGACGGCACCATT